GGGGGGGGGGGGGAGGGGAGGCAAGGAAAGCCGACCGTTGCGAAGCAACGTGACCAGTTTGCCAAGTAACCGCGCTCCTCTTGCATAGCGATCTCCTCTTCGTCGGCGGAAACTCTTTAAGTGCCACATTCTTTGCGGTGGAGAGCGAAACCGCGAGATATTTTCACCAGCGGCGCGCATCGAGGAAAAAAATTATAGCTTGGCACGTTAGAAAACACTATGAGTTAGTAGACAAGTAGACAGCTAATAGACGAGTTAATAGACGATAAATAAATGCCCCGTCTACGAGAGAAGAAAGAAAACAGATACCAGAGTCAGGCGAGACTGAGGAATCGAGGAATATCAAATGCAGCCGCACAAGTTTGAACCCTCTGTTATTCCGAACGGCGACCCTGCGTACGGCTTCATCCTCCATTCGGGTTCTTTTCTTTCCCTTTGATTCTTTAAAGCTTCTCGGAGCTGTGACTTTTTGCTTACCGCCGTCACTGATTGCACGCGTGTTAATCACGTGACGCAAACGCGATTATTTTGCGCTCTTTCCTTTCGGTCTCTCAATCTTCCCGCATTCTCGAGATTCGTGATCAGTATTGAAGTCCTCCAACTCTAACTCTTTAGTCGAGGCTTAAGCCACACATTAGTCGGAGTACTCGCGTGTCATTAATGTTAGATCCAGTGTTACTAATATTGTGTTAAGCAGGTTATAAGGCTCAATGTATTTTCAGTGGCACATCTCAAGAGGGCCATTCATAAATTTAGTATTTAGTATCTATTAAGCGAGATTATATTTCCATACATTTATTTTACTACCTAAATAATAAGTGTTAATTTGAAGTGAAGTTGAAGTAAACATATATATAAAGTCCTATAAATGTGAAAATATTAATTTTTATTGTTTTTATTAACGCTATATTTATACATCAGTTGATCTAATACAGACGCATAAGTAATAGAAAGAGGTATAGTAAGTGTTTAAATACGTGTATATGTATATTTCGTGTATTACTATAAATTATGAACTTGACACTATTGTATTTTCAAGACAAAATGGTCAACAATTCTGAATTCTTGTTGTATAATGTCTATATATTAGTCTTTAACATCATAGTGGTTTTTGCCAAAATCTTATTAATTTGATTTTATTAATATCTTTTTAATTTGAAAGAAATTAAAAATAGAAATTAAAAATGTCAGGCTAATCTCAAGGAACACGTATAAAAAGATATCAGTTTTGATTACAAATATCTTAACTCTCGAACGACTAATCTTTTTCCAATTGCACGAGTAATTAGAAAATATTTCAACGTATACGTAATAGTAGAGTTTCATCGAATTGTCATCAGATTCATTTCTCCTTACAACCTCCTTAATCACGGTAACGTGAACTCGATTGTTTCGACGGTCTCTCGATAGTTCGTCTCTCAATTTCAACGAGTTCAACGAGTTCCTGACTCTTCGCGCATGCTCAAGGTTCGCGATTAATATTGGGGAGTCTTCCAATTAATAACTTTTTGGCCGAGGCTCAAGGCTACATATTAACTTTATTCGCGTGTCAGAGCCGTTATTTGAGAGAAGTTAAATGTCGACAGTGAGGATTATAGAGGACGTCGACGAGCCGTGTAGCGCGCAGAAACTTCGCTCGCGGAGTTCAGCTCGTCTATTCTTCGTCGCGACAGGGAAATTTGTCTTTACAGGACTACGTAACGGTGTATGACGGATACACCACCAGGGAGCCGGTGATCCTGAAATTCTGCGGCGGCGGGGAGCCGGTACCGGAGGCCATCAGCAGCGGCCCGGAGATCCTCGTGGAGTTTACTACCTCCCCTTATGGCACCTTCTTACATCCGACGCCGCCCCATTCCCTACATGGGTTCCAATTAGAAGTGCAAGTACGTGAGGGCTCTCACCGTAAACTGCATAATGGCCACCTTAATTAACGCCCGACCCTCTCCGCCCCCTTCTTAATCACCTATAAAATTAAACACCTTAGATGCGTAGGAATAACACGCGGCGAGACAGGGAGGGAGGGAGGGGGAGAAAGGGTAGAGTAAATCGCGGCTCCCATCGGAGTTTTATCTCTTCGGCATATACATCGAATCCTTGTGAATTCGGTCATTTAAAAAAAAAAGTCTATAAAAATTAATTTTTTTTTTACGGAAGCGCTAAATTCACATATAAATATTTTACGACATATCGCGATATCGACGTGACCCAAGTAGCAGAATGACATCAGAGAACGTCGTATTGACGGCAATATGATACCTTCAACGTCAATATGATGTTTTCTGACGTCACTCTGCTATTTGAAGGACAATCGCTGTTATTAACGACCGATCGACGGCACGGTAATCGAGCGAAATCAAGCTGCGGGAGGGGAGATGGGGAAAGGTAGAGTGGCCGAAGAACACACGTTCGAAACGAATGATCGCGATTTCGCCGTACACATTACCAAAAATCGGGGTCCATCCGAGGGCCGTTTCGGCCAGTTGATTGCGCGTAAAATCCAACGAGCTCCCGCCGCCCCCGTAGAGTGCAGGCAACGATATCACCGGCGTGGTCATATTATCCCGTAAAATTTCCTAACGACACGCCGCGCGGCGGAATACATTCGAATCTGATAGGAGAGCACGCGATCGCTCGAGCAATCCGCATGAAAGCCGCTCTCGCCCCCGTCTGCCTCCTGCTGGCGGCCCCCCGTCGAGGGCTGAGTCGCTCGGCGACGAAGCCCGCCCCGTCGGAGCACGGCACGCAACACGCGTCGGCTTCCAGGTCACGTTCGTCGACGCCGAGTCGCCCACCTACGCCAAGAACAAGCGCTGCGAGTTCTGGCTGAGGGGCACCGGCGGCGGCGTCCTGGCGTCGCCCCGTCACTCATTGCCGAGGAACAGCACGTGCCTCTACCATCTCCGCGGCTCCGGACCGACCCCGCCGAGCCCGACGCCGCCGCGACCTTTGCCGAAATTTCCTGAACAGCGACCGGGCACCGTCTGGCGGCGACCTGCCCCGAGGCCGCCGCAGCCGCAATTCCGCGTCTGGCTGTCCATCCTCAAGTTCCACGTGGGCACCAGCTTATCCAGCACGGACGAGGACTGCTCGACCACGTTGATGGTCTGGGACGGCGAGATGATGCCGTTGTCCGAGTGCAACGACGTCGCCTGGTGAGTCCGACAGGCGGTTCGGGAAGTCTCGATTCCCGAGGGCGCTCCACCTGAACGTGACTTTCCCTTCGCCTTAGCAGTCGCACGATTTGTTTCATTTATGATAGCTGGTCCGTAAATTCATTCTCTTAGGGATCTTTTCGAATTTTAACAATTTATTCATCAAAACACCATCGACACGTAAAATTAGAAAAGGATCGACCGCAACGAAACTGAGATCATTGAAATCGAATAGTCGGCACTAATTACATGTGTCACAGATACGAAAACGGCTTCTGATATCATGCTTTTAATTCTAATAACCAAACTAGTCCTATAGTTTTAATGAAAAACGTAAAGATGATAAAAGAAACTTGGAGAGATATTATGAAAAAATTACACTATCGTTGACCGTCTAGTTTCGCAGAAACTGATACGTGAATTTCATCGTGAGTTTTTAAACATTACGTAAGTTTAATTAATATTCTTTTGTTATAATGTCAAAGATATATATCATAAGTCATGTTCATTAACATTCAGCATAGATTTGTCGAGCTTCTTCTTCGTGTTGTATTAACCATTATTTTCCTAACAATATTGTCGCGTACCAACTACTTTAACTACATGCGAAATTGCTGGATAAAAATCGGAAAGCTCTGCAATTTCTCTTTTATCTTTTTTATCGCCATCGATGCAATTTCACAGGTCGCGACTTCGAATTGAAAATCGAACACACATCACTCCCTGTATCTACGCTATGATATCCGAGTTTATCGTGACATATAATTCGTGTTTCTTCGTAGTGATCTCTCATCATTCCCCAAGTCGTGGCAATGCCTCAGATATTGTTTTAGTTAGCAGATGAAACGCCCGATATTCGCGAACGGGACGAAAAATCCAATGTAACGTTTGCTTCAGCGAGAAGGAACGTCAACGTTATGCGGAGAGGATAGGCGATCCGATTCAACCTGTTCTCGCGCGACCCGCGAGCAATACGACGCTGCTAGCGAGATATTGCAAGGACAAAGTACCGAGGACCTGCGACCACGCTATCCTGCAGAATACCAGTCGCCCGTGCTCTCTGGGGGAGAGCTTCGTCTCATCTGGCAGCAGCCTGACTATCGAGATGCGCATGGTCGAGTCGACGGCGCTCAGGCAAGTGTTTTAATTTTCCTCGCGTTGCTTTACCTCCCGGTCGTAAACTCTCTTCTTTACCGCTCGCTATAAAGAACAAGATCGAGGTATAAAACATTCGACGGACGGTAGAAAAATTGACAACCGCAGCCACGAATGAAAACAACCGCTCGAGTCTGAATAAGAGAAACCCCAGAAGCCCGAAAGATAATATCCGAAAGGACGATCTCGCGTAACAAACGACTCCCCGACGTTCCCATCTCTTTCTCTCAAGGAAACGGACGAAATAGGAAGGAGGAGGGAGAGAACAAACGAAGATATTAACAGACCGCCGAAATATTCCGCGAGCGATATCGGCGAATAACAAATCGCTCGCGCGCTTGTAACCCCGCGTTTCATCCGATTCGCTCGCTCGTGGCGCGGCTTATCGAACAGCCGAGGACGACAGAGCGCGTCTGTTCGGCGAAGAATGCGGGAACATTTTATAGCAATACGGCGCGCAATATCCGCCGCGGTAGCATTCGTTTTAGCCGCTAGTGCGCTGCCGCTCTTCTCCAATATAGGTTATTCATGAGGGACGATTCGCCCTTTTCCCCCCCTCCGCCCTGCGTGGCCCTTCCGCGACGGAAATACAGCGGAATTTAGAGGGACTCGCCGAGACACGCGGCGACGGCGACGACGGCGTCCTCCGTCGGTTCCATTTGCTTAATTTTATACGCTGCCTTTCCCGCAAAAGCTACGTACTCTCTTGACCGAGGTTCGTTGCTCGGCGAATTTACAAATTATTTAAATGAACCCGCGTCAGTTATATTTAAAAAAAGGGAGGGAAAAAGATATGCGGGAGCTTCGTCGCCTACGAAACTGCGAGCCGACGAGCGTGTTGAAGGATTCGAGTGGCGTTCGAGTCCGCTTTCGCACGCCTAATAAGGCTCGTTGCATACATGAAAACGGAAAAAGTAAGACTTAACCCTCGCAAGGAAAGGTAGGGGTCGTTCATGACCCCAGCAAGAGACGCGCTTTATATTTCTTATGTTATTATAATATTTTGGAAAAATATATTCCTACTTATTTTTTATTTCTCTTAATAATGTTTTATTTATACGTCAATTGTGCACACATTAATAGAAAGTAGTATAAATATTTTATATATGTACATATGTACATATTTCGCATACGTTAATATAAATTGTAAATTTCCTATATATGTCTTCAAAATAAAATGGTCCAAAATTCTGAAATTTGTGTATAAAATCTGTATATTAGTCCTTAATGTCACGTTGTTTTTCATTAGAAGAAATTAAAAATAGAAGTTAAAAATATAACATTAATTTCAAGGGACACGTATCAAAAAGTGTCATCTTCAGTTGAAAATATCTCAGCTTCCGTATAGTCAGTCGTTTTCTAACTTTAGAAAATCGCCCGCTCACAGTTGATTGTTCTTCGACCGTAAAGAGAACAATTGTCTGTGACTGGTTAATTTTCTTACCGTTTAAATCTTACTGCTTACGTTCTTCTGTGTGCCACGGGGCCCTAATCGGCGCGTATTGTTCATCCACGAGCGTGAACTTAAATACGACAGATCAACGCGTCTCTCGCAGCTCGTGTGAGCTTTCACGCTCGGCGAGTAATTGATTCGAGCTAGGACAGGCTCGCGGCGAAACGTGAGGGAACACGCGAAGACCGAACAATAATTGATCGGAACGACACGAACGCGAAGATTCGTGGCCTCAAGTCCCTCCGTTCATTCTCGAGAGTCGACGGTGGAAGCCGCTCGTAAGCGCCGGCGAAACTCCCCTCAGCAAATTTCCCCGCAGGCCGTCCGGCCGAAAAGCGATAGCCGCCTCGTGCATATCGCGGGAACACCCGCCGTTACGGTAATTAAATCGCGATTACGCCGGTGCTTGCGGGCGTTAATCGCGTCGTTGCCGGCGTTACTTTTCACCGGCTCTCGCACGCCTCCGCGTCGCGTCGACGATCCGCCGAAGTGTCGCTACACGCGACGCGGAGATCCAGATCGGACGCTCGCCGATGAATAATTGAGGGAGCTTCCGCGCCGCGTGATTCAGCCGGGGCGCGCAATTGTTAACGACACACTCGCATATAGACATAGGACGTGCACACTCTGATTCGCATTTCGCACGCGTTACAGCCGGTCGTCACGCCACGAGCGATCGACAGGGAGAGGCATCTCCCCGGTGCGCGTGCATCGTCCTCGACGTTTCTTTTTTCCTGAGGCACGTGTGTGTGTGTGTGTATCGGCGTGTATTGCGCGCAGCGTGTTCGAGCGTGATCGAGCCGGACGGTGTGAGTGACGTGCAATGCGGATGCATCGCACGGTCTAGTTAATCCTTTCCGCGCGAAGTAAAGCCTACCGGCGCGGCGTGGCGCGCGAGCGAACGAGCTTTATAATAAGCTCCGGCTCGGGGGTTTAATAACATCAGCGCCGACGGTGCAACAGCTCTCTTCAAGGCCCCTAGCCGCCTTTCACAACGCTGCCGGGGTTCGTCGATCTTCATCAGCGCATCGAACCCCGCCGGACAACCGGCGCGCATCAACCTCCTCCGTCGTCGTTGCGTCGATACCGAGTGCTTCCGACTCGAGCGATCGGCCTGTGTGTCGATGCATTCTACCGGCAGAAATAAAACAACGACGTGAGCGTAGATCCGACGATGCCTCGTTAGAAAGTTATAGGGTAAGGCGATAACCATTACCGCCTTGAATATCTCCGAGGATGAGGGGAAATTTATCCGACGGAAATAGCGTCAATACCAGTGGTCATCGCTTTGATCGTCCTCCGTAAATGTAAACTTTCGTCATCTTAAAATAGCATCGCATAGTGCCGGATTTTCAGTACCGATTTTAAGGGGCCCTTACGTAAGTTTATTATTTATTGAAAGAAAAATATTCCCCTTTGTTTAACCAGCTTTATTTAACTATCTAAGTAAGAAAGGTTAATTACGAGCGAAATTAAGAGCGTCAATATGCTAAAGTAAGTTAAGAATACGTTAATTTTAGAAATATTATTCTCAAATTCATCGGTTTTCCAATTTAACTCTTTCACGCTCGTGGTCCAACATGATCTCCTCGACGTGGTTTAATTAATTAATAACCTCTGCTTTTTCTCCCTTTGCGAGGTATTTCGAATTTTTTTTTTCCGGACTTTAAAAGATTGATCGGTGCGATGTAACGACGCTGTTTTCAGACCCGTGAACTTTCGTGCGCTGTATGAGTTTGTCGATCTCCATCAGGACGGCGAGCCGTACGGTACCGGGCCGTGCTCCCGAATCTTCTACAGCCGCAGCCGGGACCATTATGCCGATCGTAAATTCCAAGGTCCGCGCGACATATTCCTGTACGGTCGAGGCGGCTCGAAGAACATAAGGTGAGAGATCGCGGCGGTACCTCGTATCGCCGTTACAATAGCATATTAGCATCATCTAAGTGTCCACCTGAGTCGAAATTCGGAATCCGCTATCCCGAGTCGAAATTTTTCACTCTACGTTCTTCAAGTGAAGAAAACAGAAATCAATTCCCACTTGTATCATCGAGGGAGCACAATAAGTTAGAAAGTTACACGGGGAATTTAGGCTCTCCGGAGCCTAAATTTTAATTCCACGTTAAGTCTTCAAGTGGAGAAAACGGCAATAACTTTCCCACTTGTAGCACCAAAGGAACACGACAGAAGACCTTCGAACACCTAACGTAGAACTAAATTAGACTTAAACTAGGACTAAAACTTCGACTCGGGATAAGTTTCGTAAATATTAACTTGTAGTCTCAGTATAATGCTCCAATTGTGCTACAAGTCCTACTGTAACGTTGCCAACAACGTCTTTTGAGCTCTATTTAGCTTTATAGTTACACTGAAACCGAAGTTAAGCTTCAGTCGATACTTTTAGATGTATAACTACTTATGCACTCAACTCCATTCTTTTCATTCCTTGAAAATGAACGAATATTACTGATAATATCCATGAAATGCGTTTGTAGGGAATATTCACAATTATTTAAGACCAACTTCGGCAACTATATTAGCTGTACGATATCAGAGGCGAGAAATGACACGCGGTAAATTTCTTACACATATAGCTCTTATCTCTTTATCTTTTAATTTTGCCTGAAAAACATAACACTTTCGTAATTCTGAAACTTTTAAAATATGCGGCAGGTTGAAATGGTGGCCTGATATTTCACGTAGAATAGCAAAATAATTCCCGAAATTGTCAGCTGTCACGGCTGCCTGAGAATGGCCGAAAAATATATCGTTACTTCGGGAATTCTTTTGCTATTTATATATTCTACGTGAAATATCGGACAAATTTTTGCCATATATTTTAAGTCTAATTTAATTCTACAAGAGTTCAAAAATCTTTCACCGTGCCCCTTTGATGCTATAAATGGAGGAGTTATTGCCGTCTTCTCCACTTAAAGATTTAATGTAAAACTAAAATCTAGATTCTGGAGAACCAAATTTTGTAGTATTAAAGGAACACTTATTGCGCTCCATTGATGCAAGTGGGAACTTGTTTCCGTTCTCTCCACTCGAAGATTTGACGTAGAATTTAAAATGTCGACTCGAGACGCGAGACACCGTGCTCTCGCGCGTCTTGCATTTGCGTCGAAAGAGAGTCCGTGTTGCCATCATCTACGTCCATTAACTTCCCCGGTTGTTATTTGCGTTTGGAAATTTACGACGGAATTCGCGGTGTATAATCGCGACTTCGCCAGCGGCCGACGCGGTATCATTTATCCGTCGTAATTGATCGGTCGCCGATAGTGTCGCAGTGACAGTTTGACATTATGACGGTCTATCGTCTACATTGGGTCCACGTCCGCCTGGGACACCGTCGTGAAAGCTAATGTAACGATGTAACGACACGATAATGACGTCGTTAACTCGTTCCTATACGTCAATTCGTGGCCGCTCGTTATTAACGGGCCATTGTACGACGTGGTCCGCTCTTCCTCGTAAAATATACACTCCGTAATCTTTTCTTTTTTTTTCGTCGCGATCGAACGATCCGCGGATGGTGCAACGCGGCAATAGAGAGATACCATCGGCAGCCGCATGCCAAACGGCAATTTGAAGCGTTAACGCGCCTCGTGCCTCAATGTCTCTATTAAGACACTCATCGAGGCTTCGCCGAAGGATCTCAGGTCCTTAATTCTAAAGTGGCCGCGCGGATGACAGGTGTCATCCATGCGCATTAAGTTGCATTTTCCGAGAAATACTACAGACATGAGAGTGATTCACTTTTCTCACTTTTCCTTACTTTTAAGAAGAAAGATCTCTTGCCTTCCTATCACGTGATCGGGAAATGAAACATCCGCGGCGTGCGCCTTCATCTCGAGCGAGCGCAGTCATCCTTTTCTTACTTGATTTGAACCCTTTCGAAAAAAATCTCGATCACAAACGGTCATGTTCAATAATTCGCTTCTTCGAAGCGGAAGATTTAAAGAAAATATGTAACGATAACTCGGGTGATACAATGTTCATGAAAACCTGACGTTCATGAAAAACTGACATTATATTTTTAAGCTGTTTCTATCGGGTTTGTCAGAAAAACTAACAATAATCGAAATAGGTATAACTAACTGTGCTTTCTTCGAATTACGTAGTGGAATCGATGGTCCACATTTGTCGATTCATAATTCTCATGTGTCTATCAAGTGAAAATCAACGAACTCAAAAAACCGGACCAATAACTATCACAAGAATATCTGATTGTGTTTTTATTAATTCCGTAGTAGACTTTTGTCTGCAATTTGTCCAAATTTTTCCACGTTCATCCATTCACATTTTTTGTCTGTCGAGCCGGAACAAGTTATTAAGAAACGAACACGAGAAAGTAGACGCCGACTGTCATAAGAACACATTTTCTCATTCGCGAATATTTGCGTATTCCGATCGCGCGTCGGTCTTTTCGTAAGATCTCTTCACGACTGTCGCACGTCGTCCGAGCGCACATTTCGGGCTTGCAGGAAAGCGACAAGACGCGGAGCTTGCACTTCTTCTTCCGAACGAACGTTCGGAAAGAACTACCCCTTTGCTGATGTTCGTACAAACGACACGCTATCGCGTGCGCGCGCGGACGCGAGCGTTGTTCTTTTATTACTATCCATCGCGGCCAGAGATCGAGTCTCCTACAACGTCGATAAAATATCAGTTAGATCGCGGCTTTACGACAGCCATAAAATGATCTTTACAGCCGCCGAACCGGGCCATTCTTTGCCGGCAAACCGAAGTCCCCGTAGTTACACTCAATATCGCGCTTTAATGCATTTTTCCTTTTTCCATCTTTTTTCATCTTATTCATTATCCGATCTCGCAGCGTCCCGGATTGCCGGCGAACCCGGTCGATTCGCGCTCAATTTCGCCCCTTCGAAATTTCGTCCGCGACGAGCTTTGTGCAAACGTAACGATTCGCGAGTTTCGCTTCTCTGGTTCCGAAATTCCAGAACGAATGTGAAAAAAAGAGAGAGGGAGCACGTCCGGGGGCTATTAAATCATCCCCTTGTATGGACGTCGATTGACGTCGAGACGTATAAAGTCGCTTTTATTTGGTCCGATAAAATTGCTATTTGCGCTCGCCGCGGGAGTTTCATTTCCCGGTCAAGTGATAGGAAGGCAAGAGAAAACGCCGACTCCTCCTGCAGCTCCTGCCTGCCTTCCTTCCTTCCTTCCCGAGCGAGATAATTCGCCGGTGGTATCCGAAAAGAGGCCGGGAATCTCGTAACCGGCTCGCCCGCACGTTCCCGTGATCCACCCTTAGAAACACTTTGGCCGCTCTCCGATTAACGAGCGTCCCAACCTTCGGCGCTCCTCTCGCGTAATCTTCCTGCAGTATCGATCACTGAACCGGATCCTTTGCCTGGCCGGCGAGGCGTGTAGATTCGATTAAGTGCTGAAAGTGCAGGCCAGAAACGGGTTTTGCAGCTGCGTGTACCGCTTCGAAGGAGAGCACGACGAGGTGGTGAAGCTGAGGTTCAACAAGCTCCTCAATGGGAATCGCACCTGCCGCAGCGTTACCAGCCCCGACTTCAATAGGCTACTCTGCGTTGGCTCTGAGAACTTCTCGGTGAAGGTACGTAATTGAAACCGCCCGGTAATTGCGATTAGTTCCGCGATTACTTCCTCTTCTCGCTCCCCGCCTCCTTGGCTCCGGAAACGAGGTGCGTGCGTGGGTGCTCGGCGAAACCGCGAGACCGACGTCTCCCGGAGGGGAGGATCGGATCTTCGAGATCGCTGCTGCTGCAATGTCGGTGCGAAAGGTTTACCTCGGACGCGAGACCGCACCGCCACCCACTGCGCAATTCCCCGTGTGGAAATTTAAGCAGAGATCTACCCCGGATTTCCTCAGTTATTACTAGAAGAACCTGACTAGAAAATTCTGTTAGAATCCGACTGGGAAACGTCCCACTTTGAAAAAAGAACACCGGCCAGGAAGTCTTAAAGAAACCCGGCCGGATTTTTATTAGTCGGATTCTTCGTCGATATCAGGATTGCTGTTATGAACTGCAGTGGAAGAGCCAAAACATTGTAATGCAAAATATTCCATATATTTATTCTTTATTTTTCTTTATTAATTTTTATATATTTTGACTATCTGTAACGGATAAAGTAACGTTGCGCTTTCATGTCGATCAACTTAAAACATTTCTTTTTTTATAATGAAATAAAGATAAATATTACAAAGTACTTAAAATTTAACTGTCTTGTAACAAATATTGGTTTTCTAAGCGTCCATCATATGCTTTAACGGTAACAACTAAGCGCCGATATCGGAATAATGTAATACAAATAATAGCGTTCAGCAGAAAAAAAACAGGTTAATAAGCACTTAGTGATTATTGTCTGTGACTGAAGCAATCTTTTATATCTTTGATAGATACAAGATAGATACAAGCCCAATAATCACTAAGTACCTGTGCAAAGCACTCATTTCTGCTGAATCTAGCCATTCTTTAATAAAAAGAAAAGCAATGTCTACATTAAATTTACACAACGAACACGGCCTGAATTTCTTTTCTACCTGGATACGTATCTCCTAATTTTTCCTTTTTCTTAGGCGATTACAGCGCTAAGCACGGACCAGAAATTAGGATCCGAGTTGAATAACCAGATATTCATTGTCGTGTACAAACCTAGGAGTTCTTCTCTCTAACAAGGATCTGGTTAGAATCCCGTACGTTTGTTTAATAGTTTATCGAAATCAGATTTTACGTTAGAAAAACAGATCGAAATCCTTTTAGATTCTCTTATTTGCGGAAATCTTATTGAGACCCGACAACAAGTTGAGAAAAGATGGGGTGATTTCCACACGGGTCCCTGCCCCGAACCTTTCCTCGCCTCGCCGCGAAGTCGTCCACGGAGCTTACGCCGCGGGAAAAATACCCTGATTACATTTCCGAACAGTTCGATTGTAATGACGGTGCCGCTGCGAGTCGCGGTGAATGCACCGCTGCAGCGGCGGCGGCGAAGTTACCAGCGACGTTAATTACAGATCGGTACAATGGAAGGTTAGCGTACAATCGCCGGTAACAGGTGGCATTGATCGAGTAATTAACGGCGGTGGCTTTAGCAGCGCCGATAACAAGTATCAGCAATCTCCGAATCCAAACACGAAGTAGATCGAAGTAGGCCGGCAGGCATCGAAGTTTCCCCAAGTAATCAATAGCGAAATGAATCGGACTGTATGTGTGCGTGTGTGCGTGTATGTGTGTGTGTGTGGGTGTATGCAATGGCACCGCCAGCCCCGCGACTTGTCTTACATTAGTTCCTGGCGTCTGGCGAACGCAGAAATTAGTGGAACACGCTCGGGGCCGCGATTCAATGGCGCGATTCATTGCCCGAGAATTCCGTTTCGAAGGAGTATCGAGAGCGCGAGTCTCACGGAAATCCCGGCGTCGAGATCGCGCAAGTAATATAATCCCGTTCACCGGAAATAATAACAGTGACGCGCTCGTTGACGGACACAGGGTAAAGCGTTCGCACTCGGCGCATCATTGATTAAAAGACAATAAATCGGGATTACAATTACGCGAACGGGGACGGTCATCCCGGCGGCTGCCGTTTGTTTACAGGTGCTCGATTTACCCTGGCCAAACGCGCCACCCATCCAGCGCGATTGTCTCTGCTCGAATCGATCGTTGCCCATCAATATCAAATCCACGTCCAATTTCGCCGAGGTGCGTTTCACCGTTCTGTCGATGGACGCCTTGGATGATTACAACAATCTCTTCTTCGAGGGCACCTGGGACTTCGTCAAGACGGTGCCTTGCCTGCAGAAGCGCAGAGTCAGAGGCCCGTCCGGCGAAATCAAATACACATCGCCGTCCGAGGAGGACGAGGTAAACGCGGAGAAGAGCCCCGTGAATAAATATATACAGAAGAGGTTGAGAAGCAATACGTCAACTTGTACGCTGAGAAGAAAGTACTTACAAATTTATTTGTGGGATATAAGGTTTACTTCATAGAGAAATAAAGTTTATTCTTGTGAAATAAACTTTATATCCGATAAATAAGTTTTTAAGTACTTTTTCCCTCGGTGTAACTCACTGTTATCGTTATCAGTTATTTATTTTTTCAACAACGATTTGATAACGGCGCTCTTCCCTTTCTTTACTGGTAACACACTGAAAGAAAAATTTGGTAACAGTTGCCAAACATTTAGTTAAATAGTTTCAACTAAATAATAATTACATGTATTTAATCATTTAGTTGAAACTATTTAATGTTTGATAATTATTGCCAAATCCTTTTTCCAGTGCAGTAACGGAGACGAATTTGTTTTCCAAATAAGTGACAAGAGATAATGATAAGGAATTATTTATTTCAATGGCGAGTCATTTTTAGAAAATAATTTCCTCAAGAGCCTGTATATATTTATTTATTTATTTATTTATCAATAGCGCCATTATCGATACAGTAAATATCGATACAGAAATATCATAAGAGAAGGTGGAGATTTATTATAATCTAAATTTGCGGATTCGCAAAGTTCGCATAATTAAATTACGTAATATAATTTCATTGTACCTTTTATTTCTTTTGCGATTTTATATCGTAGATCCTTATACAAATATTTCACTGTTTTTAGCCTGTTTTAGTGAAAACGTGCATTCGACTGAGCGAATATGACCCCATTTTTAGGTCGGAAATGGACCCTTTTCCGTAATGACAGTTATAGCGAATTGCATACAAATATATTCGAATGGTATTGTTGAGTATTTTTTAATAGTAAATACATACAGTGTTGTGTAAATTTGAGATGTGTAAACATGCATTTACCTCCGAGTACAAAATATTTGTTTAACAATATTCACCAGTACTCACATCGCATATTTTAAAATAGCACGAGTAAATGCACGACTCTGTAACGTGCTTCTTCCCGTATTGAAACGAAACTAAGTAAAAGAGGAACGTATTAATAAGCTGTCACTCTCATCATTTGGAATATTGGAGACGGATAATCTTCTCCAAAATACTCATGCAAAAATACTCGCGTGTACTTGTCATATTCCTTCACTTAATAGATCGCACGTGCTTGGGAACGCAAGAAACGGGCATGAAAATGATAGAACGAGTTTAAAACGATCCATAAACTATCTGCATGAGGAGTAAAAACGGTGAAGTATTTTTGTAAGAGCAGCCTTCTCAATTTTTCGTCGTTACAGCGCAAGCGTTTGAAAGTATCGGCGCCTGAAAGAAACGCGTGAATGATCTTTTTCTGTCACTACCAGAAGAACTGCGAGAACCAGCCGTGGCTGATTGACCCCGGCCCGGGTCAATACTTGTACGTGAAAATGCACGGCATAATCATGTCGAACAAGACGAAGTGCGAGACGAAGAATCGCATCGTCGTGCACACGGGCGGCGCGATTCACGTGTCGGTGTGCCCGAAACCACCCGCCGACTCACGGCACCACGTGGTGGAGGTGTTCAGCGACGGTTGGGCCGTCAGCAGCAACGCGATGATCCTCGCGCCCGGGCAGGACCCGATCCGAACCATCGCCGTAGAATTCATCGTGAAAGAGCCCGCTTCCTACACGGTCACGTGGCTCGAGCTCACCAGAAGGTAGTAGACGATATTTTTACACGTAGTAAGCGATATTTTTACACGCGTGGGGTGTCACAACAACACAGGCACGAAAATAGAAGCGAAGAGGCAGATAGAAGATAATTGAAAAAACGGAACGTATCGACTTTAATTCAGAGGGATAAGGGTGATATTACATTAATTAGAAGTACTTTCAAAAGTCGATAAAGTATATCGCTGGATAGCGAGCACAATGGACACCGGTAGAACGTAATTGACGCGATCTTCACAATCGTGCGACCTTCTTCTTCAAAACCCCCCTTCATTAAACTTCGTTCAACTTTATCCGTAACTTTCGCAATCTCTTGCGCGGAATAATTAATCTCGTAGAAACGAAGATTACCCCTCTTGCCCCTCTTGCTGCGGGAGGGACGCACGCGGTGTATCCGTGCTTCTGCTTGGTGTTGCTGAGAAAGAGTGAGAGAGAGGTATCGCTGCTAACATTATGCATAAAACATAGCGCTAAGGTACAATATAGGTCGTAATATATTTCGCGCCTTTCCGTGCGCGATCATCGATAACCTAAACTTCATGGCGGAAAGTAACGCGAGCGAAGATAAAACGCTCGATATCCGTCAACACTGATCGCGGCGCACTGAATGTCGCTTTCACGCTTACGCCGTGGAACCCTCACATATACATCCTGAAAAATTACTCTCATTTGCGAATGTTTATGCAAATGTAGGAGAGACCGGCGCAGGCTCGGTGACAGAATCTCGGTGTCAAAACTTCTCAGACAACTAATTGTCATGATTGACTAAACAACGATGATAGCGAGTGTCTTTCTTTGCGTTTTTATGTTATGAAATCATGTGTAAAAAGAAATAGCGTATCCTAGTTAGCTTAAATATAATTAGTTAAAATGAAGTTTTCCGCAGCTGTGTGATATACTGTTTTGTTTATTATAGTAGTAAACTTCACGGAAAACTGTATTTTAACTAAATACAAATACGTAGATTTGTCTAGTCACGATGGAGAATATTAACCCATTTCCGGCCGGGCTGTAAAAATATTGATACCCGTGAGATCAAATTGCGTTTAGGATCCGTTTTAGAGTAATTGGGACCTAAGAAACTTAAAGAAACGTAAAATCAGAATTTTCCGACCAATTGTTTTCCCCGGGGAAAAAATAATCGGAACATTAAAAAGCTCGCTTAAACAATTAAAAACTAATTTAACAACTTTGCAAACGACAGGCTAATTTTCGAGGAGATACAGCCAGTCACAGGACGGTTGAAACATTTTTTTTTCTGTAAGCTTCGGAACGCATCCCACGTCCAATAAGAGAATTCGTTTTTCGGCAATTCTCAGGAGATACATTTCCCTATTGGACACGGGATGCGAAACTCATCGAAAACAAAAATGTAACCGTTCTATGACTAGCCCGTACACTCACGATTGCCACGGCGAAAGGGTCGAATCACGCGGTGGTGACCGGTCACACGGGTGTCTCTCTGGAAAACGCCTTAATTAATATCCACTCGACGTTATCTGGCCTCGATTAAGCCGGTGCGCCGCGGCAACGGCGACGACGCTCGTCGTTACGCAACGGAGCAATAACTCTATCGATCCTCTGACCCGCAGACCCTCGGTGACGGCGGGCCTGCAAATGTCGCGGGACTGCGAGCAGCGTTGCCCGGAGCTGGACGCGTGCATAAACGCCTCCTTGTGGTGCGACGGGGTGTCCCACTGTCCCTCCGGCTACGACGAGGCCCTGACGCACTGCTCGGTGCTGCTGCAGCTGGCGCCGTTGCACCTGATCCTGGCTATGCTCGCCGTGGTCGTCGTCCTCAGCGTGGTCTGCTTCGCCGTGTGGCGGTCTTGCCGGCAGCGCACCAGCCGCTCGATATCCCAGCACCGGCTGAAGAGCATCTCCTCCGAGACGGCGATAATCGACGGCAAGGAAGTGATATGCTGACACAGCGACAGTTCTGTGCGTTACGTCGAGGTCGACCGGGTCACCACCGTGTGACGATCGCCGTCCACGTGGTGGTCGTCGCCGTCGCCGCCGTCGTCGTCGTCGTCGTTTCCGTGGTCGGTTCGAGTTCCAGCGGTCCTCCATAGCGCGGTCGGACGACTCCGCTCGGCTCTCCTCTTCCTCCTCCTCCCCCTGCTCCTGTCGTGAAGAGAGCCGAGAACCACCGCCGCCGGGGGGATCCGCGGAAACGCCTCCGCGTAACGCGCAGAACTGTCGCATCGTAAGGGAGAAGAAACCAGGAAGAACCGCTCCGGTTCTTGCTGATCGGTAAACGCGCTCGATGCTCGATGACTCGGGTGATGGGGCGAAGAAGTCTCTTTCGTCGAAGGAGCGCTTTCGTTCCGGCTGGCCGGCTCGAGGGGGAAAGAGAGATGGGGCTCTCGTTAGGCTCGGGGAATAATGACGGGTGAGTTGAGAGAGGCGATCCGACCAGGTGACGCGTCGAGAATCGGATGAGACCGTGGGGCGGTTTTTCTTTTTTTAGAATCGAATCCGCCGAGGTCCGTCGCGTTCGGAACGGAGCCGGCGCGAAGTGAAGCGTGTTAAGGGTGGATTGATTAATCGCTGCCACTTTTCACTCGTCAACGCGTTACGCGCCGTTGCATAATCGCACGTGCGGCTACATTTAGCGTCTAACGGTACGGTTGAACGGGGTGGCCCGTAAGTCGCGAAGGGCTTTAAAATTGTTGCGACTTTCGTATTCGTTGACTTGTTCGTCTCACTCTTTTCGGGTTCTGAAGGGATTCGGGAAAGTAAGTACGGAGAAGCTGACCGAACGACGAGCGGGAATCGTACCACTTTGCTTTGAAGATCTGCGCTCGATTGGTTTAACGCAACGGGCATACCGCTGTCGTTTCAGCGTCATAAATATTCCCCTTCGTCCCGGGACTGAACATGGTCTCCGTGATCGCGACAAGTCGAGTACGAAGCCCTGTTGCAGGAGACGTTCGACGATCGAGCGACGAATCATTGATTCCGAGGGGACATTTCTGACGGTTAAAATGACGGCGATATGCTCTTTGCGTTGAAACAATCGAGAGCTGATTCTCAAAATAGAATCGTACGATTTCCGCTCGTTGTTCGACGGTGAATCTCTTTCCGCATTTAATTTCCCGTATATACCCTATCGGGACCCGAAGAAACAAATGAAATGAGAAAATTAACGGATACAAAAGTTACAAGAATGTTCAACCCCCTCGTGACCCACCCTGCATCTTAATGTCTAACGGTACACTGCCACTATATACAGTTTCCTCGTCTCCTCGAAATCAGAGCGATCTCGCTTCACGACTTTCCACTCGAAGATCTAATAAGGCTACTCGGGACTTGCCGCCAGTTCAGCGGCGGAATCCCAGACGCGACGCGGTTGGATCGCAGCTCGGATTCGTCTCTACCAGTATCTTAACGTTTCCGCGCGATGAGAGACACGCGTTCCGCAAGTTCTCCAGTTTCGCCGCTCTCGCGATCATCGCGCACGTGGATCTCACTATGGCCTGTGTGATGCCTGATTACTTTCCCGAAGAACTGTGACACGTGAAAGTTTCGCAAACGATTCCCCGTCGAAGTGCCGTCGCGAGAGCCACCTCGAGCCTCGAGGGGAACGAAAAACCGAAAGAGGAAAAGAGATAGAGAGAGAGAGAGAATGAGACGAAAACGCGTAGCGTAAGCCGCAGGATTCGAGTGCGAACTACTTTAACGAGGACAATAAGTAATAAAATCCTAGTAGTACGTCGCTATTACGGTAGAATGACTCGGTGCCGCGGTCGGGCGACGCTGCGCCTTGCTCGTCGGACTTGGACGATTAGCGCGGAAAATTAGCCGTGCGACCGGACGACGCGCACCTTGCGACGTTAATAACCGAGGTCGGACGGTGTAATGAGTAAACGATGCGGCGCGGGCTCGGACGGACGGTCGATGCGCTCTGTTGGCGGATTTGCGAGCGAGGGTCGCCGGTCTCGTCCTCATCGATTGACCTTAAACCGGCGGCTCGCCTCTTCGGTCGCAGCTAATCTGCCGGTGGGAACGCGCCTGTCAAGTCTCGCGGAAGTTCACGAGTCGACGTGACCGGGTCCCTCCATCTTCGTTTCGCCCGGCAACGCTCGTCGTCGGCCGACATCGAGCTCGTGACGCCACGTTCGACGAAGAACTTCTCTCAGCGGAGGACCGTCGGCGGCGGTTCGATTAATCGACCAAGACGCCGCGTCGGTCCGACCGGCGGCACTCTCTCGCGAATTATTAAGAAACACCTCGTTCAGAGAGCCGAGACATCGAGCGTCGTGCGCAACGCGCTAGTACCATAAACGTTAGTTTCCTCGTGAGAATTAAGAGAGTTCATTCAGAGAGAGCGGTCGTGTAGGGCCGGGGGCGTACCTTCCCCGCGCCTCGTCTCGTGCTCTTTTTTTAAGGAAAGAAATAGAAAAGGAAGAGAGACACAAAAGGAGAAAGAGAGGAAGAGAGGGGAGAAGGAACACGCGCGTGACATGACTCACACACCACATGAGAGAGAGAGAGAGAGAGAGGTCGTCCGTGTAAAAAAAAGAGTAAGATAACACTAGGTAATTCTCGAAAGGGCCGGCGAGCCGTCGCGCCATGTCGAGTCGCGAGGTTGTTAGATGAATTGAGACGCCGATCGAGAATGTCGACCCGACACCTCTGAGGTCACTCCGACGCGCTGCGGCGCGCCGTTGCGGCCGTGGTAACGCGAGAAACCTTGGAGTCTCGTTGCCGTTCAGAGCGTTTACTGCCACATTAAGTAGTCGATTACTCAGCTAGCCGACGTGCGGGTGGGCGCGAGCGAGAGTGTAGTCGGTATCTTGCGCGTGCAAGCGCCGATCGCGAGTCGTTTCTCGTCGCATGCCGGCCGACGATCGTGTCGACCGTCGTCTCCCGAAAGATAGAGAGAGAGAGAGAGCGCCGAAATGTACACCGGAAGGCGCGATACGGTAGCCGCACGAGGCTCTCCTCCACGTATCATGGCCGCAGGCCTCTTTCTGCATCGCAGGGGCTGCGCTTCGACCGGAGGGATGAAAAATGCGATCGATCGAACGGCTGCTGACGGCGGGACGACGCCGATCGGCGCCGAGCGCGTCAGAAGTTCGCCCGCTGAAAAGTGCCGCGACGGAGGAAGGTCGCGGTCTCTCGGCCAGCTCACGTCGAAGCGCAACCCCGCGGCGAGGAAGACTCGATTCTCAGCTCGAGATTTTGACCAAAAGTCGAAGAGGCGAGATAGCCGATCCTTAGGCGACTTAATTACTCACCTTAGCGATACCACGCCACTTCGAGGGCGAAGGCGGGAGGAGAGGATTACGATGTGTAGAACTTCAGTAGCCTGAAATTATGTGATAATATATAATGCTGTTTTCCTCGGAGCTGCGCTCCGACACACTCATTGTTACGCCGGGCGCTGGACGGCGTCCGTCGGATCGGCGGAAACGCATCTCGAGAGGTCACTCTCGATCCTCTCGCGCGACGTAGGGAGGAGGGAGTCCCGTCGTCGTCGCGAGCATCAAGGACGACGGAGAGCGGACGAACATCGGAAGAGAGACGGACGAGCGGACTCGAGAGTGCTCGGCCCATCGACAGGTAGTATTGGACAGACAGTATTGAAGCTTGCGGCAAGATTTCTTTGACCTTTCGTGTTGACGGATTTGGAAAGAGAGAAGCAAGTGCTCAGGCATCGATCTCTCTTTCTCAATGTATTTTCATTGGTTGAATTTTGCCTGTTGAACGAGAAGGGGAACACCATCGTGCTCTTACCATTGGGGAACGTCTTTCAAACGCGTTGCAATCTGTGTGTGTGTGACACTGTACACAGAGAAAAAGATTTCTTTGCGTTCAATAACGTTTCTTCAATCGGAACAAATTTGTCTCTAGGAGTAGAGCAAACAAACGGATGTTCGCATCCTGTTGTCGGGATAAGATTTGTTTTATGCGAAATAAACCCTTACATCACCCATAAATAAATTTGTAAGTACTATTTCCCGCTATATATAAATGTCGCGTAAAAACTCAAAGTGTTATAACTAAAATTATTATATACGCGGGAAATAATGATTAAATTTAGCTTCCACTTTATTTATGCAACATTTATTACGCAAAAGAAGTGTTCATAATTTTTAAGTGCCTCTTGGCCCCGGTCTATACGAGTCTCTACTGCACTGAGAAAAGAAGACTTAAAAATTGATTTGTGAAATATAAGGTACATTTCACAGAAATAAACGTTCATTTAAATACGGCGAAATAAAATTTTCTTTCCGGTAAAGAAACCAAAATATATATTCCATCGTCACGGTTAAATTTTTTCCCAACCAATAAATATCGAAGAATATGCCACGAGAAACATTCATTTCGCGAAATTTCAATTTCTTTTTCTCAGTGTACTCACACACACACACACACATCTTGTCTCTTTCCAAGGTCTGTCAACACGGTTTTGACCGTGCCCCGTCCAGTGCTACATGTCGACGGTTCGGCCGCTCTGTTCGTCTCGGGCACACGCGTACGAGCACCCCGACGTCGCACCGCCGCGGCTTGTACACCTTGTTCATACTTGTACATAATCGATTATTTATCTATTTGTATCGAACTACGATGTTGCGCGTGCACTTCCGCCCGCGCGTCTCGCCCCCACCGTCGTGCTTCCTCGGCTTCTCGTTCGCACCGAGACTCTCTCGTTTCCGCTTTCTTCTCGGACCGTACGCCGGAATATTCCCACGTAGCGCCGGGGTATGTAAACTTTCGCGAGGATATTCTCACGAAATTCTCGTTCCCCGCGACGACTCGTAAGTTCCGGAAATCACCGGAAGCATTTATTAATCGTAACGTGCTATCTGCGTTCGATTAGGAGAACGTGCTGCTTCGCTGGAGCGTCGCGGATACATGTTTTAACTGTGAATACATCGCCGCTGTTAAGGACGATGCGGGCGAAAATATCCGGCGAAAATAACGCTGCAGCTCTCCGGGATCTAAAGACGCGAGAATATTCTTACGAGGGAATATTCTAACGCCGGATGGAATATTCATAGAACGCCCACGCGCCCACACACGCATCGTGCCATCCGGTTTGTAATTCCGCGGTTAATTTAAATCAGCCAATTTAGAAGTGACGTGACGAACCGGCTGCAGCCATACTTTGGCTTCGTTAATTAGTGAGAATTTAGTCGCGATTCCCATTACGATTACAGCTGTCCCAGCGGGAACCGCAAATGCAGCGACCGCGCGGAGAAGCTCCGTTCGAATAATTCCGGACGCCGGGGCTGCGGCCGATATCGAGAGAAGAGTCGCGACACCACTATCGAGCCTGTCACTCGGGTTTACAGCCGACCGCGTCCACCGTGTGCGAGGCGATAAAATTCTCGCGTTTACGATCCCGGCTCGTAGGAATCTTCCCGCGCGATATGGCGGCCTCTAATGTTGTCCGCGTTCGATCAAATTCACTCTCTAAATTTCTCGGGGTGAAACCTCACTCTAAACGAGCGATAGGAAAAATATCCTCACTCGGAATGGAGTGGCATTTTACTTTTCACAAGAGTGAATGGTCCCCACGCCGACCGTGGAGTGAATGTTCTGCCCATTTCGAGTGAGTGCTTCACTCGGTTGGAATGAATATTTTGTTTCGAAAAGAATGAATTCTTCAGACTTACGTTCTTTAACGGGCGGAGTATCCTTTTTTGTCGCGTCGTTCTTAAGGTTCACTAATGATTTTGTCTGAAAGTCTTCTTAATTACATGCCATTTAAACGATTCCACTTGTATCGTATTTGAAAAATTTCCTTGCCACTGACTGAGTTTGAACTTCGGGATGCTGATCCTGCTGCATCTCACACTACGCCATCTCGCTCTGATTAATAAGTTAATTTCATATCGCCTGTAGTCCCGATAATCCCTACAGGATTTCAATATTTAAAAGAGAGATGGAGCAGCTTTTTAAGTAATTTTATTCGAATATACATTCCGTACGTAGTGTAATAAATTGTAAACTGAAATTGTTAGTCGAACAAAGGGACGCAACGACCACAATGGTGACAATAAGTAAGGTTTGATCATTCTGCTGCTTGCAGCTACTAGATTAGATTCGGTATGAAATGAAAAATATTCACTCCACCGCACACAGCGGAAGAATTCGCTCTATAAGAGTGAAAAGTCACTCCAACCTCGAGTAATTCGGTAGTCACTTCATTTTCCTAGTGGAATTCCACGACACGGAGTGAAAATATTCACTCCACGTCGCAGGGTAAGAGAATCCATTTCGTAAGAATGAAAAGTCATTCCAATTCGAGTTACTTGACTGTCATATCAGTTTTCGAGTGGGGATTTCATTCCAAGGAATTTCGAGAGTACCGAGTGTCGCGCGCCAACTCTAAAGGAAGGGCCGCTCTTTCTTATTCGATACGCGAGATAACACGCTCTCTCTCCGGCTCTCTCCGACCAACGGAGGAGGATTCGCGAGTTCCCGTGAACTCTCGCGAAGAAACGAGAAGGAGAGAGAGAGAGAGAAAGAGAAATTTCTCCGAAATTCTTCGGGAAAATATTCTCATCTTCGCGCGCGACGTTATCGCGATCTTCTGCCGAAGGAGGCGGTGCGTCGACGCCGCGAGCGGAAGTTCGCATCCCGCCGCTTTACTACTAGTCGATAAGCGTAGACCTTGGAAGAATCACGGTAGGAATCGCGTACGTTCTCTGGAGAGAACACCCATTCACGGCACCCGAGACACGGAAGAAGCGGAGGACGACGATGGAGAGCGTCGAGGAGCGAAGAGGAGGAACGCGGCGCGCGCGCGCGCGCGCGATCTAAGCGCGCCCTCAGCTAGCCGGGAACACCGCCAACCATTTTTCTCACCGTTCTCCGCGCATACGATCATTATCGCGCTCGTAACTAATACACGCATAAGTGAAGAAAAGCAGGCGGCGAGACTAAGATCCCAAGTGCGGCGGAAGCGTAGTATTTTTAAGTTCCTCGCACGCCCGCGCGCGCGCAAATCACCGAACGAAGACAATCGCCAATGTCGCTCGTTATCGGCTGGATCGAGCGAACTTCAGTTGATCCCGACTCCACGATTGTGCCGGAAACGATATGCACGCGCTAGAATTCGTTCCGAGGTAAGACCAGTGAAATATAAACATACTGAAAGAGGCATCTATAGACGGAGAACACGTCTGAGACAGATAGATGTTTAGGGCAACCTATCTTTTATTTATATGTAAACTGATCTCTTTCTAAAGAGAGCGACGCGTACAGCAAAGGAAAGATGCCCTCAAATTGGCTTTTCTGTCGGCTTCACTTTTCTAAGCCCAGTGTCTCTTCCAGTATGGATATGCTTCGGTGGGTGAGACACTGAACGTGCCACGTTTCACAAGTGGTAACGTCGCGGATTGGTCAGACGGCGAGAGACAGCGTATATATGGCGATACTTTACGCGAACCTACCGTTCCGTAGACTGCTGCATCTTGTGTTCAATCGAGACGAGCCCGAGTCGAAATTTCGCCTTCGCACGAAGCGTTTCCGGGTAAACGGAAATTAAACGACGTTTTTGCCGATTCCGTCGAAATCGAAGGATAATGATCATAATAAGCGATAAAATTGATGGAGAATCTCGGGATACATTACAATATACAGACTACTGGCCCACTTTGACGCTACAAATTGGATACTTAATGCCACTTCCACCATGTTGATTTGTGTTCCATAAAAAAGGACTCACTTCAGAGTTACTTAATATTCAATTATCGCAACATCCTACTCGTGCGATCTTAATCTGTGCTTGCAGGATTTACGGGGTTGATCGAGTCGAAATTTCGACTCGGGAGTTCTCTATCGAAAAGGAGGTCACAGTTCCGACATTTTTCCGTTCGATTCCGCTGCACCTACAAACACGCGCATTCGTACCTTAATCCCTTTCTTTCCGCTCGTACGATCGAGCGATTCGAAGTAACGGACAAAGTAAGACGGCACAGAGAGAATAACGCGACAAAGTCAATTCTGTTCACAGGGGGGGGAATATTTCCCGACGACTGGAGGGAGAGGAAAAATGTTTGCTCGTGTCACGACAGGTGTCAGGTCAGGACATCGTGCTGGTTATCTTTCACGGGGTTTTTTATTTACCCGGGACCAAAGATGTCATTTTTTTTTATCGATGCTCGGCCTGCCAAAGATGTGATCGGGCGCGATCACGTCGCCAAAGATATCAGAATTCTAATTGACACACGACTGATTCGGAGAACCAAAGACTGATTATTTAAATAGTTTGCTTCCGTCATCAGAACGATTCGCCACTGCCACGCGTGAAAAAAGAAGAAGGAAAAACAACCCTTTTATAAGGGACGATCGTTTGCGAATAAATTATTACCGCGAGCCGGTCGTTCGCCACCGTCGATGATTTCCCGAAGCGATGAAAGAGAATGAAATATTTGCTCACATTAAGATACATCAGAACCACGTCGAATTCAAATGATCACACGCTCCTCAGGCGGTGAAGGTGAGGATAAATTTTTCGATCTATTTTACACGATCCCTCTGTAATATTGACTTTTGTAATTTAAAGCTACAGCCGCGAGCGAACACGGCGATATCGGCTTTAAAGCCATGACCCAGATACCGAATAATCTTCGCTGATGTGTTCCAGGCCGGCCGGCAGAGAGAAATTTTTTTCCAAAAATAGGTCGTCGCGAAGGTCTCCTTCTAATTACGTTAATCGCTCCTGACACGAGCAAATTAATTCACGGAACGCCAGCGGTGTGTAATTAACCGCGCCTTGCAGAAAAACTGCATACACGCAGGCACGATTTATCATTTATAGCAACAGCTTTTAATTCGCCGGGAGAGGAGATGTAATGAAAAGATAATTGTACCGCGTACACACACAGAGCCACACCCACACAGACGGTGACCTCCTTTTAAAAGTAATATAACACATTGTGACGTCTCTCTTGTAATGGCGAAAAACGACGAGATAAAATTAAGAACCTATGTATATATCACGACTGTTATTTCTTCAGGGGATTCTCTTAAATTAGAAAAAATGATTAATACATCCGATTATGAGTTCGTTCTCATTCGAATTTATCGCACAGGACACACACATATACACACATCGCGCAATGCTCGAATGAAATCAATACCGCGAAGACGGAACGAACGAGAGGGTCCGATGTATCCACGACTTCGCTTAAATTAACGCTTTATGAATTGATAATGAGCAATACGATTATCTCCCTGGTTCTGATGAAGAACTCCCGCCGTGTCAATCCATCAGAAGTAATCGGAAATGATCGGAAATGAACTGCCGAAACTCAACGTCGTAGCGCGCATGCGCATTGAAAAAGAGATTTGGTAACAATTATCAAGGTTTGGTTAAATGGTTTCAGCTAAATTGTTTGGTAAGTACAACCAAATCATTTAGTATCATATACTGTATTGTAGTATCATATATTATGTACGGTATACAGTACTAAATGATTTGATTGCAGTAACCGATCAATTTAGTTGAAATTATTTAACCAAATCTCACACAGTAAAAAATTTTGTGTCAATAACGGCTTATTGAACCTTACTTCAACAAGATATATATATATTAAAAAGTAATATGTTAATAATGTAAATATGTTAATTTAACATATATTGGTGTATTTTTTAATATATTCTCCGTATTAAGATAACACAAGAATTTCAATAGACCGTCTTTACACTTAGAAAAAAAAATTTAAATTTTGCGTAGCAAATATTCTCGTAACATTTTCTTCGATATTTATCGGTTAGGAAAAAAAATTGATTGTGATGACGGAATATATATTTTTGTGAAATATGCACGGAAAAAGAAGTCTGGTTGTATTAACCAGAAAAGGAACAACCAGATGCATTTTAATAAAAGAAAACATAATTTTTGATTATAAGAACTATATTTGGGTCATAAAAATCAAAAATTCTTGTGTCCTTCAACCAGAACGCATCTGGTTATTCCTTGTTTCCGGTCAATGCAGCCGGAATTTTTTTCCGTGTTAACCAAAATTTTCTTATTAAATCGTTTATTTGCTAGGAATACAATTTCAATTCGCCGTATTTAAATAAATGAACGTTTATTTCTACGAAATAAACCTTATACTTCACAAGTAAATTATCAAATCTTTTTCCCTCAGTATAACCAAAAATAACTTTCACTCTGCGGTAATCGTTACCAAATCCTTTTTTCAGTCGCAATTCGCATTAGCATCGAAAGTATGTCTTTCCGAAAAGCCGCCAGCCGGCCCGAGCGGACACGCGATCGCACGCGCGTTCCACATCGGGCCGCGGTAAACAACGACCGCGTGCGGAGAAGAGGACATGTCATCGCGTGCACAGCACTGCCTTCGAAGACCGCGTATCCGGCGACTGTAAAAGTTTATTGCGGCCAGGGGATGCCCGGCCGATGGGGCGTATTCGTATACAACCGTATATCGCCGCGGCAGTTCGAATATCACCGCCGGGGGTAAAATGCAGCTTCGACCTCCGTATATCGCCTATTTATTACCGCGCCGCTGAAGTTTTATCGTCGCTATTCCCGCGCGATCGCCGTCCACGCATCTGCAAGACGTCTCCGTGGATCGGCGAACGGCGTGCAATCAGCGGAAGGCGCGCAATCGGCGAAACTGTGATGCGCTCGCAGCGATCCCGCGGTTACCCCCGATACGTAGAGGAAAAGGTGGTATTATGATCTCCGTTTACATTTTGTACAATAACTTTGTTAATAATCAATATTTTTAATTGGAAACTTAACGATTACATTTATCGAAATATTGTTCAATCGATTATAGACTCAAGGTTATGAAATATTTATTATTTAGGATGTTATTTATATAGAAATATGGCGAAACAGGTCGAAGAGGTACAGGGATAGTAACGTGCCCCCCACTAAAATAGATTTGAAATGTTGGTTTTGCTTAAAAAAAAAATCAATGTTTTGTTACAAATTTATATATATATTTATTCGAAATAAAAACTCACAAAAGAAATAACAACGATGAATGTAACTGTGAGTTTTTAATATAAACATTAACTTGTCAGAAGAAAGATATAAACTGTCAAAAGGACCGTTTCTACAAAACGGACAGACTTTTAAACTTGAATTTTTATTTATCGAATAACTACTTCGACGCGAAAACCTTGAAAAAGGAGCCGTATTAAATTTATTTTAATGGAGGGCCAAATTAGCAAAATGTCATATTATTGTTTTTGCATAACTTGAAATATGTACAGCGAAATAAAATGTTAAATTACGATCAAACATTCAAGTATGCATATATTCTTGTGATAATATATCTAAAAATGAATGAGGAAATATATAATTAAATATTAAAATGTACCCCCCTTCCCCCTTTCAAAACATTTCGAAATGTTCGAAAATAAATGTCCGTTGTAACAAATATTGTATATTGGCAAATTAGCAACGGGCAAACCGACTAACAAATGATTCCACGAGTACTCGAAATTTTAGTTCTACATTAAATCTTCAAAGGTCTTCTATTGTACTCTTTTGACGCTACAGATGGGAAGTTATTGCCGTTTTCCCCACTAGAAGACTTAATGTAGAACTAAGTAGACTTAATGTAGGATGAAAATTTCGACTCGGCTAATCACTAAAATCCATCACCCAATGGCGGAAATATCAAGGAGGGCCATAATACCACCTTCTCCTCTGTATCTTCATCGAGAGAGTGTTCGCGGAAAACGCGCTTCATTTCGTCAATAAGGCGACGCTTCCGTCGGTCGAGTCGACGACTCGACGTGATTTCGCGTGTAGCTGCTCTGCCGGACCCGCGATGGTCGATTTCATGATTCACTCGAATGTAAACCATTCGAGATATCTGAATACGAGCCAACGAGCGGAGGGAGATAAGCTCAAGGAATCCTTGAAAATCTGAAGCCGATCGCAGGAAGTAAGAGAGAGAGAGAGAGAGAGAGAGATACACGTAATTGCTCGCGGAAACTTCGCGAGGGAGAAGCCCGGCCATGTAAGGTGCGGCGAAACTTCGGTCTTAGCCGGGATCAAATGAGATCTTAATGTGCGACGAAGTTGCGTCCAAACGAGACGCGGAAGTCCGATGAACTTGACACTCGCCTGTAAGTAAGCCACACCGGCGGTCGCGTGGCTGCTTCTTAAACTACACAGGGCGTCGTTGCATAATTAATAATTAAGCGGCTTATCCGAAAACGGGACCGAGGAAGGGACAAACGAGAGTCTCGTCTTTCGAGACTCCGCGAATTTCGACGAGAGAGAGAGAGATTTCTCTCGCGGAACGAACTCACGTACTTGCCGCTGCTCGCGAGATAAACGGGCCGATTAATTATCCTCAGGATGAGAGTCTCCACGATCCGCAAGATTGATCTGCGTTAAAGTAGACGCGACATCGTCTGGGTTCCAACCTGGAACTTCCAGGACGCGAACGTACTGCCTCGCATGCACTTCCCACGTGCTTTCCACCCCCCGAGAGTCACGGTTGTCCTCCGGCTACGACGACGAGGGACACCCCTCGACTCCCAAGTTGATGAAGATTCCGTCAGCCGAGAGGGACGCCGTATCGGCTTCAGCCACAGTGAAATGAACTGAGCGTTTGCGCACCCGCGTCCTCCACCGGGCCTGCCTGGGCTTCGCCCAAAGACGAAAAGTACCTGCCTCGCAAAGCCGCGGATCCGTTGTTTCTGTTGATGATATCGAATTCCCATCGGGATCGCGCCTTCGTTCATTCGGCTGCATCGACACGTTCGGCGTGAGAGAGCGCGCATTGTACTCTCGAAGTTTCTCGGAGTGAGATCTCGCATCGAGAAGACGCATCAAGATTCACCGGAAGCGATAATGAAAGCACTGCCACTCGGAATCGCGAGGGTGAATGTTCGAGGGGGGGGGGGGTGCAAAATCTAGAGAGTGAATCTTGATCCGTGCGAGCGAACGTTTCAGCCGGTCAGAGTGAATTCGTTCCAGCAACGGTGGGATACGTGTCAGGTACACTCTTCAATTTCGAGCGCAAAATATTCGCTCGCCGGTTCAGAATGGAGGAATTCACTCTGCGCGAGAGTGAGAGAGAGAGAGAGGTCACTCTGCCGTTCGAGTGGAATTTTACTCAAGAGGAAATTCCGAGAGAGAGAGAAAGCGGCAAGCGTTTCACCTGCTCGCGTAAAATCGCCCCGAAGGAAATTGGAACGCGCAAACGCTCCTCCTTTGCCTACTGTGCTACATGTAAATATCGATCGTTATGTAAATAATTGGCGTGCTCGCCGGCGAGGCGAATTTTTCGATTATCGGCCAATTCTCTCGGCTCACTCGTGTTTCGACTGTAAATAGGCATAACCGTAAAGCGAATTCAAGCGATACTAGATGACGATGTAAGCCAGTAAAGTTAACTATGTAGACGATTTTTAGGCGTAAACTCTCTATTAACGATGTAAGATCCATATCCGCGACTGCGATTGTGAGGAATACAAACGAATCGCGATCAAACTGTCGACCGTCGAACATGTCGTACGCCTATAATAACGACCGAAGCGCACGTATATCTCTGAGAAACTTCGTTTGCGCTATTTACTCTCGGCTTTGAGTCACTCTCGTGCCCGGTAAAGGGTGGAGCTTTACGATATTCATCGATGTTTCAAAAAGAGTCACGATGAAATCATCAGATGCGCAGTGACGATGTACGTGACGAGAGAGAATCATGTTATTAGATTTTTCTCGAATAATAAAATTGTTATTATTCGGGGAAAAGAATTCTCTGAAACACCCGTGTGTTTCGAGAGGTCGGAAATATCGTGAACTTTTATTCGCCACGGCACACCCGCGACTTTCCTTCGCTCTTCGTCATTGGTTAAACGCTCTCGAGAAATTTCGGTGACGATTATTTAGCCATTATTCCAACGAAATAAGAAACAACTTACCGTTGTAATACCGTGCGAGTGGTGGTCGCCCTCGTTATTACTCGAAATTCCTTGCCGAGGCCGTTACGCGAGCGAAGGAGAGGCGTACTGTCAAAAACGAGACGAGAACCGAACCCGAAGAGAACCGTCACATCGGCGCAGCTCGGGTTACGCAACCCGACCGGGCAACCGAATCGCGTGTCAACCACGTGGTGCGTTATCTCGTGCATCATCCATGCGCCGCGATTATTATGTAAACGAACCGGTTGCAACGAGACGGAGAACTCGCGTGATTGTATGCACACGTAAAACCCCGCGCTCTCTAAATTTTACACGGAGTGAAATCTCATACGAATGGAAATACACTCGAAGCTGATCGTGAACAAACTGCCACCCGCGACCACAAAAGTGAGTATTTCACTCGGATTTAAAGCGAATTATTAATCCATACGAGTGAATGTTTCAATCGATCAGAGCGAACTCGTTCCTACGACGATGGAGCGCTCAGTCGGATTCACTCTTCAATTTCGAATGAAGATACTCACTCGGCGAATCGAAGTGGAGAATTCACTTTACACGAGTGAACAGTCGCTCGAATTTGAACGACTCTCGATTGCTACTTCGAGTTTTCGAATGGAATTTCACTCGGGGAAAATTTAATTACGCCGCTCAGGAGGCGACACGTGTCCGTTGCGTTGTTGTTCCGCTATTTTCTAAGAAGCGTAATCAGAAGCCACACTGCGATTGACTCGCACTGCGGCTGCCCGCGGATAACTACATTCGTCGGTCTCTTCATTAAAGAACATCGCGCGAAATATACACAGCGCCTGTGCGACGACCGTAGTTACAAATTGACTGGGCTACAATTTCCGACAGCTGATAGACAGCTGAGCTCCCGACTGTCCGGGGCTGTACTATATCGCATCAATTTGCCGTTCTAATCAAGAGTACCGACAAATACCGTTCACGGGCCACGGAACACCGTTAGCAGAAACTAAAGCCGACGTGATCTCGGTAAGTTCAATTGTTGACGCTACCAGTGCGATTAAACGTATAGAAGTCACGTTCGATAGTATCGAGATCCGAATTCATCCGAGTAATATGGGCCCCGAGAGGCGCCCGAGCACGAACTATTCGTCGATATGATGCATACGACATCGTTAACTCACAGGGAAACCTTTGAAAATGTCTCTCACCGATGTCGATAGGTTTGAAGATGCGTTGTAAGGCAGCTGAAAATAAGAAATATGTTAAAAAGAAAAATAAGAAAAATTATATGTGCCTTCTTGGACGTGTTAGAGGTTGGAACAGCCGCTCGGAAGTAGCTCGATAAAATTGGTAGTAGACGAAATATCTTGAAAATATCACGAGCCATATAAGAAAATGTTTTGAACGAAAAATTTATGTGCGGTAGCTTTATGTACGGTACATTTTTGGGCCATGTAAACGACGCTCCATAAGTAGATGCAGACGGGTTGTTGCGCGGGATGCCTGGGTTGTACGCCCGACGAAGCACCGTGTAAGCATAAGCGGGCCGGACGCAAGGTAGCTTGCAGCGCGAAGTTTACAGCTCGTATCTCAAAAATGTGATCTCAGAAAATAATTGTAACATACGTAATCAAATCCGGCATGGAAGCCTCTTTAATTTGTATTCCTTTTATTCTTACGAATTCACGTAAATTCGTAAAATTCCATGTATGAACGGCAAGGAACATTTTGTGTTAGATCCTTTTTGAAATTCTTGTGTTAAATTTATAACACACCCGCGTCTTAATTTAACATATTGTGTTTATTATCTCAAGATATATATTTTGTGTTGAAACAATGTTCAACATATGTAAATGTCGAAATAATACATTTTACACTTCTCAATGTCGATTAACATATATCACGGATATTCATTTTGCGTTAATTTTTTACATAATATTGATGCCACTTTTCAACACATTCGTTCTTGTGTTAAATTAACGCAAACATTTATTTACGCGTTTGGGACATGTGTGAAATTTAGCACGAGATTTTTTTATTGCACGAAACTCCGAGGACTCGCTTTCAATCGCTAAACGTGCGAGAGGGAAACGACGTCGGAGAAAAGCACGAGTCTCTTGTTTTCGGCTGCTTGGCAACGCATCCAAAAGCCCGACAAAATTAGAGGGCCACTGCCGGGCTGTTCTCTATTTAGCACTGTTGCGTCGCAGAGACAAGCACAGCTCGTTGTTTCTACCAACTCAAGTTTCACATCATCCACTGCCACTTCGTAACATCGGAAAGCGCCTTCCTTTTCGATCGTCACCGTCGACGCCGTCGTTCACGTTTCACATGCACCGCGACAGCGCGATCGATCGATTCACTTTGCGGCGACGAGCGGAGCGGACGAGCCGTTCGAGCGAGCGAGCGAGTTTCGGAGCTTTCGCGAATCGCGCACATGTGACTCGATTCGTCGCGCGCTTCGAGCGAACAAGCGATCGGCCGCGAGATCAAATCCGCATTTTGCGCTCGTCGTCGACTCTGTCACACTCGATCGACTGTAAACCCACAGAGATCATATCTCGCGATCCGTCTCTTTACACCCGACCCGAGAGAGGAAGAGGGAAAGAGAGGGAGAAAGAAAGAGGGAGAAAACGGCATAAGCCGTTCGTCGAGCGCTGAACTTTAACGACTCGGGCCGTGTGCACCGATTTGGATCTCGATGACCGTGGTTGACTTTACAGAGAACCGCGAAGCTCTTTCGCGACAGACACGACCGGTTGTACGGCGATATTGAGGAAAAATGAGATAACAATAAAAGGAATGTGAAGTGTTTCAAAATGAATTATACGTTGACTGCAGTGAGTGGAAAGAGCATTTGTACGATTCGTCCCTCTGGGGATAAATTTCTACAAAAGAAGCGAGGCATCCTGCAAAGCGTTTCTATCGAAATATATACAACTATACATATTGTTTTCATCAATGTATTATATATATATATAATATAATATATATAATATATAATATATATAATATATATATATATATATATATATGTCTGGTTATGTGTGTATATACATTTTACTTGTATTAATATATATTATATCGTTTTTCCCGTGATAAAACAGATGCGTCCGTCGTGCCTCTCGGTCGTTGTCTAAAGATTAGATTATGGTGAACGCGAAGTCAGGAAGAAGTCTGACAATAACATAAAGGCACACACGCACGCACGCACACGATCTTACCACAGGACACGCATAAACGCACACGACATATTTACTCGCAATCGCTCCATTTGAAGGCGACGACACGAACCGCGGTGTGAGAGACGTCGGCGCTTTGAACGCAACGGCATGAACGTCACGTTGGAACGCCGAGAACAGCAAAAGATTCATTATTTTTTAAATACGGTACAAAACGTTAGCGGCTAATACATTTCATTTGGATAATAAAGCCGAATAAAATGGAGGAGATGATGATTAATAAAATTTCAGCCTACCTACAGAGTTTATCTACAGATCTATCTACATTTTTGCATAATTTAAAAAAGTAACTTTTTTCCTCGGAAGGAAACCAAAAAAATATGTGGAGAATTTGAAAAAAAATCGGATTTCCCGAGCTTTTGAAACTATAAATTTTTTAGAACAACGGTTTCATATTTCTTTATTTAAAAGCGGCTCCTTTCGAAAAGTCGAATTAAAACGAATGAAGATACGCGGAAAATTAAAATTGAAATGTTTCACGTTTCCATGAAAGCATAAAGGATCAATTTTCAATTTCGCAGAATACTTTTCCACGTCATTCGTCGTAGTTTTCCCAGTCATCGCGGATAAATAAGAAAATTCGCGTTAGAGCGCTAAATTGAGATTCATTACGCGATCAGGCAGGCGTTCGCATTAAATTGGATTGACGTGCGATCGATCCGGAAGAGGTAATGACCCATGCATGAATCATCATCACGCCAGTATATGCGTCATGCGTTATTCGTGGACAGAATCACCGACTATCTCTCTGAAAAACCGAGAGCATCGTGCGACGTCACCGACGGTCTTAGCGTTAGCGTCGTTGGTCGACAATTGTACGACGATGCAGACGCGAATTTGCATTCGCCGGACGGATTCCTGTCCTGTTGCGAGTCTGCCGAGACTGCATTTATAGACGCGCGCGCGATTTCGTGTCGTGTCGCCACACTTCGATAGCTCCGCGACGACCACACGCGCCATTTAATTATCCCACAATAAATTAAGAACAATAACGATCGATATCACCCTCCTCCTCCCCCTCCCCTCCCCGCGTCATCTGTCACCCTCTGTCAGACATAAAGAACCCTGATTGATCCTCCGAAGACATGCTCACGCGACATGCATATAGTTACTAATTGTACCATTAACGATCACCGACTCGAGGTGTCGAACACACATGCGACATTTTTAATAAATTATTTTGAAGATTGCTCACGGCTCTCGTTTCTTCTGCTTTCTTCACCTCAGTCCCTCGGAAACCGCACGTGTTTCCTCGTCCGATTAAGCGTTACGTAATATATCACCTCATTGTGCCTGTACAGGCTGATCCGCTGTATGTTCGCTTTTCGATTCTAATACTAAAGAAGTTCTAACACTAAATGTAAAAATTTCCAGTAGCGCATCAAGGGGGCCTTTCATAAATTTACCATTTATCAAGCAAAATTTCGTTTCTATATGTTTCATTAACTAAGTAATAAATGTTAGTTTGAAACGTAGCTGAGGTATAAATATATGTATAAATATATAATATTAATATACGATATTATAAATACGAAAATATTATTTTTTTATTTTTCTTATTAATGCTGTATTCAAGCATCAATTTATCTAATACGGATACACAGGTAATAGAAAAAAGTATATATAAATGTTTAAATATCTGCTTACACATTTGTGTATCTTGAGAACATTACTATAAATTATAAATTTCTACCGCTGTATTTCCAAAACGGTCAATAATTCTGAAATTTTTCTATAATTATCTGTATATTAATCTTTAACATTATAATATATATTACAAAAAGTTTTTTAAACTTCCAACTTGCACATATACAAGTTTATAATTAAATATCTCGGAAACGATACGGTAAAGATTATTAAAACCTGTTGCACATTGTTAGTTCAATTAATTTTTATATCATGTACACAAGATGTCTCAGCGTAAGGAGAACATCTAAATATTTTGAGGGTCTAAATATGGGGACCTTAAAATAATCGAAGAAAACAAACGCAAGAAAGTTTTCCTTTCACGGTATTCCTCCTTTGAAACTATTCAAGTTGTGCTCTAAACGTTTCTCATATTATTAAAAATAAAGGAGATATTTCGATGTTCTCCTTATGCTAGGACTTGCTTTATATATTATAGATTTATCTTATACTTAGTCAAACCGTTTAAACCTCCTTAATTTCTCGCGTCGTATCGATACGTTTATCTCTTTGTTACGTGCAGCACGCAAAATTGCACGGTACACCCCGATGTAATTGAATCACGGGTAACTTCTACAAAACACTTTCGAAGAAGCTCTTGCAGGGGACCGCGTGTAGTGACCGTTCGTGATGAAAATCAGGCCGCTTTGTGTATTACTAGTGTACGCGTGGAAAACATCGCGTGTTTGCATCTAGTCATTAACATAATTGCGAATTTTCTCAAGTCATTAATATGTATCAGTCACGCGTTAACAGCGTAACTTACAAGGTGAGCAACATTAAAGCTGAAACATCGAGCCGTTTTTAAACGGAGCGTCCAATTGCGAAAAGTAAAGCTGTACAGTTCCTAATAATAACACGACGCTAATAATACCGTAATTTTCAGAAGTGAAACGACAATATCGGCTATATACAAGCCCTCTTTCTACTTCAAACGATTACTCGCGCGAAGTTGCCGACGTTCGATATCGATACGTGGTGTCGAATAGGGAATCGTTGCAATGAAACTCGAGGTTCTTCTTCGTATCATAGGTCAGCATGAAACGTGAATAATTTCCCGGATATTCTGAATCTTTCAATATACGGCTAATTTCAGACTTTATAAATTATTGATTTATCTAACGACAACAGATAATAATGACGTTTTAAATTAGCCGTACACTTATCCCGATGGAAATATTTTATTGCAAAATTGCTGAAGTACATTTGAAAATTTCCCTCGATTAAAGCCCCATTTTATTATCGTTTTGTCGATATTTCTGTAAAAAAATTAATTTCACCGATATTTCAGCAATTTTTCAGTGAAAAATTTCATCGATTTTTTAGCAATTTCTCTTTTTAAAGTTCTTTTTTTAAAGTTAAGCAATTTTGAAATAAAAAGAAATGAAGTCAATTGAGAGAGATTTTCATAAATTCTATGGTACTTGCAGCAAAATATTTCCATCAGAATTGTTATTGAAAGATTCGGGTAGCTGAAATTGACAGTACTAGTTTCGACCGCCACTCCACTTCGCGATCTGGTACACATGTCACGCTACGTCACTGAGGACCATTTTGACGGGTTTTCCCGGGTTTTCATGACGTCTGAACCGACCGGAGGCTGGGAAACCAGTATCTCCTTTCCACTACCGGCCGCGCTCCTGTTGTTTGGCGCTCGTTCGCGTTCGTCTCGCAGGACAGTCATCAAAGACGTTTGTTTCATGACGTGACGCGCGTCACGACGCAGAAGTCAGCGATCTCGTAACAAAATTCGACGAACGCAGGTCCCACAGGGTGAGCGTGAAAAATAGGTGACATCGGTTTATAAAATCCGGCGTGACTCGCTGTTTACCCGCAGTGTTTGTCGGTGTTTCGTAACAGTAAGAGGACTCGTCCGCACGTTCATTGGGCGTCACCGATCGTCCGCGGCTTCCTTTTCTCGAGGTGGATATCTCAACTCTCGCGACACGCGTGACCGACATAATCGTTGTCACTAGGGCTGCCACGTGACCTACTTTTTGTTAGAGTGATCTTTCATTTGCATACACCTGTCCCACGCCGCTATACCATATCTGTGTTTGAGGTGTTTTACTGTGGGATTTGAGAGTCATTAAGAGAGAAGTTCGTTCAAATTGTGCGGGAAAAGTGGTGGCAAATACATAAATTTCGGTAACATAGATGGATGTGTTACACCTCACGTTACTCTCTCTCTATTGGCTCCATATGTTACTTTGTGCTTTTCAAAATATGCCAACCTTACCTCCCGTGAATAAATTACGACTGCATCATTTATCATTCTGTTTCAATAACGCTTCACGTATCATATCACACACTGTCAAACACGTCGGTTATCTAGTAGTAACGTATAATGTGTGTCGCAGCAATTCCATGACACAGCTTGAATTGAGGAAGTCTATAATCTCGTGTCCTCGTGCGTTGCAGATTCTTCCTCTGGTAGTTTCGACGCTTGAACAGGCAAAATGAGTTACGGTTACCAAGTGAGTATCCTCAGCTTATTACTACTGAAGCATTGAAGGAACTAGAAGGCGATAGAACTTTCGAGTGTGAAGCTTGCGCACACAATGTCTGTATACATTTCTTGATTTATACCTTGATATATCCAAGGGGCCACCTGTTCAATTTTCGGGACGAGCACGACCACCAACGTCATTTGGAGCCCCACCTGGTGCACCCTCTGCCCCTAGTGCTCCGTCTTATCCCCAAACCGGTTTCACGAATGCACCGCCAATGTCCTTTGGCATGCCACAACCGTATGGTCAGACCTCCTCTCCTCATCCGACAACGTCCTTCGGCATGCCACAACCGTACGGCCAGATCTCCGCTCCTTATCCGACTCAAGCCATGCATCCTACTCCGAGCAGCTCACCATTACACAAGACTTATTTGGCGCAACAAGTGCCGTATCCAGCTCAGTCCATGCCGTGTTACCCATCCAGTGCCTATCCATCCAACGTTTATCCACCCAGTCCCAGCCAACGGGCAAGTCAACCATCTTACCCACAACAACAGAGCCGCAACACATATCCTAATCTACAACAAACATCAGAGGCTGCAGAATGCTTTAACAAAAGAACTTCCCTATATCCTCAAGGACCAAATACACACGCAAGTAGTTCAATCCCGTATCAAGGCGGAAACTATTCTGGGGGGCAGGGGGTACGCTCTAATTATCCTTACGGCGCTAATCCACCTACTGCTGCTCCACATGGCACCACCCCAGCCCCCCGGTTTGCGCCTAAGGTGAGATTAATAGCAGTTTCTAAGGCTTTGAAGAGACAGGTGTGAATGCGAGATATTAAACGTTTCTTGTGTGCAGGTGTTGAAACGATGATTCGGCGTCCTCCTTTTGGTGGTTTCTGGTGGTTAAGAATTTGTAAATCTTGTTACAGATCTCCCCCACTGTCGTGGCTTACGACGACTTCGATGCCAGAGCGGACGCGGAAGCGTTAAGGAAAGCCATGAAGGGATTTGGTACCGATGAGAAGACCATCATTCACGTTCTCGCCAATCGCAGCAATTTGCAGCGTCAAGAGATCGAGTCGCAATTTAAGACCCTTTACGGAAAGGTAGTAACTCAGTCTCTTCGAGTATGTCTCTTCGAAATCAAGAATAATATTGTATTACATTGTTATTGCGCCTCTGTCGAATAGGATCTTATAAAGGACTTGAAATCGGAACTATCCGGGAACTTTGAGAAACTCGTTCTTGCTCTGATGATGCCGCTACCTCAGTATTATGCCAAAGAACTCCACGACGCGATGTCCGGTATCGGCACCGACGAAACGGTGCTCATCGAGGTGTTGTGCACCATGTCGAATCATGAAATATCCATTATTAAGCAGGCATACGAAGCGAGTAAGTTAACTGAATAGTGTCGGAATCGCATTGAAAAGGGTATCAGTGTCGCTGTACATATTTACCCATGTATTTAACAATTGCAGTGTACAGAAGAACATTGGAGGACGATTTGATTTCCGATACGTCCGGCAACTTCAAGCGCTTGATGGTGTCATTGTGCTGTGCCAACAGAGACGAGGCGTTCGACGTGGACCACGCTGCCGCGGCGGAAGATGCCAGACAACTTTTACAAGCTGGTAATTACTTCTGGATATGGTTTTCAAAGTTTTGGGAAAGAAAGCCACTTTTTTTCCAAATTTTTCCGCGGATCTCTTTGGCTTCTTATTTCTTTACGGGAGAAAAAAAAGAATAGGTAAACCTGGTAGGTTTTAACCGGACGCACGTGAATTTTTCTAAACGAATCTTCCCACCCTCGGGACAGAAACCGAAGAGATACGGAAAAACGGATTCTTCTCCTAAACTTTAAGACTACTTCTAGATAATCGAGTTACCGCTATAGCGCGTGTTTTCCGAGTCTTCTTAATTTTCTACAAATATTAATATTTGTACAGGGGAACTTCGTTTCGGCACGGATGAGTCCACCTTCAACGCGATCCTCGTCCAAAGAAGCATGCCGCAGTTGCAGCAGATATTCGCGGAGTATCAGAACATAACAGGCCACGACATCGAGAATGCGATCGAGAATGAGTTTTCGGGCGATATCAAGAAGGGTCTACTCGCGATCGGTAAGTGTATCATAAACTTTACGGGATACGGTGAGACTGGTGTTGTCGGGCTCTCCTCGATAAAACTATCTGTGTCGTTCGAACAGTGAAGTGCGTCAAGAACAGAGCTGGTTTCTTCGCGGAACAATTGTACAAGAGCATGAAAGGCCTCGGCACGGACGACAGCCGTCTCATCCGACTGGTTGTGACACGCTGCGAAGTGGATATGGGTGAGATAAAGTGCGCGTTTGTGCAACAGTACGGAGAATCGTTGGAAGATTTCATTTCTGTAAGTATACCAAACACATTAAAACACGGGATATGTATCGTAGTGATGTACTTATGTACAAATTTAATTCTTCCTCCTTTTAGGGTGACTGTTCAGGGCACTACAAAAAATGCTTATTGGCATTAGTTTCCTAAAACATTTTTTACGATCGCAAGAAGCTCACTTCGTTGCATTTATCGTTCGTTTATGAGAAAATGGGAAACATCAGTTCTCGAAAGTGTACAGTGAATGTACACGATTAAAGATTGAATGCTATTTTACTTCCATTCTGTAATGGCTTCTGTCCACAGGACGCGGAAACACTTGCCGCGCGGCGGAAGTTCATGCGGTGGACAATAAATTTTTAATTCTTACCGAAGAATGGCATGTTGATTGGCTACCACGTGAACTTCCCGCCGCGCAGCAAGCGTTTGCCACATCCTGTAAGCAGAAGCCATTACAGTTGCATCGATGACAATCGTATATTCTGTACCACACATGTGATTGATTTTTATACACACAGACTTACACGAAGAAATTTCAGCTCGCGTATATACAATGAAAATAATTAATGTCTTTACAAATCTTCCGACGTTTTTTACATATTGCGATATATGTAAAATAAGAATTTTGCGAAAACATAGCTAATAATCATTCATGGGAATTTCCAATGGTTTTAGAGAATCTCTGAGTTAATTACTTGACACAGACACATTTATGCTAGCTATTGCTTGGATTGATCTTTTAGAATTCCGTGTTATAGATAAAATGTTCATGAAACAAATCTGTGAAAGACACCGCTAACTCGGAAGCCGAGTCAAGTACTGTTTGGATTATTTTAATTGAATATTCCGATTTACTGTAAACACTTTTATATCTGAGACAATAACGGAAGTGAGTAAAATTTTTGAAGTACTATTGTCAATACGAATGTATTTGCTTTGTAAGAATCTTGTAACGATCTGCCAGCTGTCTTCCTACCGCTGGCTATCTCTCGACTATTTTTTATCATGGTATTACGGTGATATTATAAGAAATATATATTACATAGATCTGGAAATTATATTCTGTAATGCAAGCGAAACACAAGTATATAAGTATTTTTCTGCAGATATAAAAATATTTACGAAACTTCGAGAAAACGAATCTATATTCGTGTACTATATTGCTATATATTATATTATTTCATACGGATGTACGTATATATATATCGATACTTTCGATATTTTAACTATTGTACTCGCTCCATGTACTTAAATTAAAATTTAACTCATTCAAATGAAATAAATCTCTTCCAAACAAGATATACTCTGTAGTCTAAAATGAAATACTATACTCTCTAGTCTCAAATGAAATAAATCCTCTTCCAAACGAAATATACTCTCTAGTCTAATATACTACATACTGATATGAATCTCAATTTTACGGGCTTGAAGATACAAAACATTGCAGATTTAAAAACGTTTCAGCTGTTCGAACAGTGTCGACGGAAACGGTTGCATGCGTGTACGCATGAACAAGTAAGGCGTATGACGGATTTTAAAATTTCGAGTTGGCAGCACTGGTCACGGCACACGTGAGGCAGTCACAAGTAATGACAGATACTGAATGTTCCAAAAAATTTCATCAACACCGTCGTATTTCGAGATGAAAAGAACATCGCCTTTCCCGATCGTTTGCAACTTCTTATCGTTACGAAAAAAAAACGCATACCGTTATCGTGGAACATAAATGTGGCTCGAATAAATCGTTCGATAAGTTGGACCCTGTTCAACAAGTGTCCCACGCGCGATCCCCGCATATTTCCGAATCCGCAACTGACGCAAGTACACTCTTATATATATTCGTGCGAGGTTCATTCGTCATTCATTCCTCAATCATTGCGCAAACTCTCACCGTGGTTTGTCAAATTAATAGATCTCATCCGGGGAGATCTGAGCGCTACCTTACACAACGGTCATCAGTTCGTGTCAGTCTCGTGATAACGTTGCACACCGATAAGTAGGACGTCATAAATCGGACCGAACATCAGCCAACTGATCGTGTAGCGAAATGGGTGTCGACTCCAAATGCACGATTTTAGTGACCGGTTTCGGTCCGTTTGATGTACATGCGGTGAACGCTAGTTGGGAAGCGGTGAAGGAATTGGAAAAACTCTGGGCGAATGCCGTAGAATTCTCCGACGTTAAACTGATCACCGAAGAGATCCCGGTTTCTTACAATTACGTGTCCACTCATATCCCTCAGCTTTGGAAGAAACACAATCCTATGGTGAGCAGTGTTACAATTCAATTTGACCCGTGCGATCTCTTGGTATAAATTTCAGCAGGAAGAAATTTGCTTTCAGATCGTTCTACACGTCGGTGTATCGCACAAAGCTGAATGTTTGACAATAGAGTGTCGAGCTTACAATAATGGCTATCAGAGGTTCGACATACACACCAAGTGTCCCGATGAAATGGGTATGGAGTGCAAGGTCTTGGAAACTGGGATAGACACCAATGAGCTTTGCGATAATGTGAATAAAAATTGCGTCAAAAGCGGTTGTAAAGCCTGTGTCTCATGCGATGCCGGCAGATACTTATGTGAATATACGTTTTATCAATCCCTTTCGATTGATTCAACAAAGGTCCTGTTTGTGCACGTGCCGGATCTCAACAAATATACAAGCACGCAAACCGCTAAAGGCTTGTATGATATTCTATGCCATTTAATAAATAATTCAAAGTATAGGTAATATAGTTTTCATGGTTCGAGATCTATCACATATTTAATATCAATAATATATTAACACTATGCCGTCCGGTGACACCACGTTGGTGTCATGCGCAAAACAAGGGGGGGGTAAATGCTGGTGACATCACTGTGGTGTCGTGTTCAAAGCTATCGAACGAACGGCAATATTGCGTATGTTCTATTTTAAGGAACAATAAGTTACAGACTTATTAGCAAGTTTTTTTGTTTTTATAAAAACTCGTGCCCTTTGATAATGGCAAACGAAGGAAAGGACACGGTTATACGGTGATGAATGCGCAGGACAGCTTGTCTGATGTTTCAGTTGAACTTGAGGATTGCGAAGAAATAGAAGACATTACGTCGCCAGAAAAACAGAGTGAAGCAGAATCTTCGGATGACTCGGAAATACGTACACGGAGAATTCGGCGAACGCTACCGTTGCCAAGTGATACGGAAGAATCATACGAAGATCACAGTGTCAGATTTCGATTTACCGAGGACCAATAATGAATTCGAAGGATCTCCGGGTCCTAACGTATTTCCGAGAGATATACAGAACGTCGAGGATGTCGTGGAATTATTTATAGGGAACGATTTGTTTGAATTTATTAGTACCGAAACGAATAGGTACTACAATCAAAATTCCAACAGGAGGAAGCCAGATAACAAAAGTGCCAAATTTGTCGACGTTAAGACAGCCGAACTTAGAAAATGGTTTGGGCTTGTTATTCTTATGGGAATCATAAAAAAACCAAGGCTGGACGATTATTGGTCGACGAATCCGTTATTGGAAACACCAATATTTCGCGAAACGATGTCTAGTAATAGATTTCGACAAATATTATCATTTTTACATTTTTCGGATAACAATAATAAACCGGATAATGCCGAGCGACTCTTCAAGGTGTAAACTATAATTGATTATTTCTCAAAAAAGTTTCAAGAAAACTTTAATCTCGGTCAAAATATTTCGATCGATGAATGATACCATGGCGTAGACGATTAAGTTTTAAAGTTTATAATCCACCAAAAATTACAAAATATGCTATACTCGTCCGGATGCTGTGCGATTCCATTACGGGATATATTTCCTCTTTCAAAATATACTCTGCCGTTGGACAGCCTTTAAAGGATACAGTGACGAAACTATTGACACATTTTTGTGGAAAATGGCATCATCTATACATGGATAATTACTACAACAGTGTAGAACTTCTGGAGAATTTGCTTGCAAAGAAAATTCGGGTTTGTGGAACGCTGCGACAAAACAGGGGATTTCCGGCAAAATTAAAGAACTCAAAACTAAATGTATTTGAAACTAAATATCAACGAAATGGTGAAGTACTCGCACAATTATGGAGAGCATCGAAGACCAAAATGATACGAATCATTTTTACCACACATAATGCCAATTTAGTTGACACACAAAAAATATGTAGAAAAACCAATCGCACGATTCAAAAACCTGAAAGTGTATTGGATTATAATAAATATATGAAGGGAGTGGATCGGGCAGACCAATTTCTTAGTTACCATCCTATATACAGGAAAACTATAAAACGGTCGAAAAAAGTGGTGTTATACCTGTTTAATTGCGCTTTATATAATGCGTTCACACTGCATCAACATTACAATGCAGGATGCAAGAGTCTCCGCTTTCATGATTTTTTATTGAAAATATGCGAATCTTGGATAAAGGATCATTTACCTGCTACTGAAGAGAACTTGGAGGTCGTTACTACATCGCGTGCTTCCAATCGTGATTCGATCGACAGACTTTCCGGGCAGCTAAAGCAACACCAGCTAATACAAATTTCCGAAACCGACAAACGAAAACGAAGGTGCCATATGTGTTACAAAAACGAAAAAATTAGGACAACAAATTTAATGTCTAAGTCTTGTGGAGTCGCGTTACACCTCGGAGATTGTTTTGCTTCCTATCATTTAAAAGAGAAATACTAAGTATTCAAGAAAATATAAATAAATAAATGTATAATACAAAAAAATCTTGCATTTAGTTACATACAATCAAACCTGTTTTTGTGCGGTAGATGGGGACCGCATAAAAAAAATGTATAAAAAAAAATATTCAGGAACTTTATAAATAGTTATAACAAGTAATTTTTTACAACATATTAAAGAAATTTTTTTTATGCGGTGGAGAGAGACCGCATAAAGAAAAAGTCCACTTAGAAAATATGTCAAAGACGTACGAAATAGCGAGAAAGTACTTTCCAAACAAAATAAATAATTAAATTACACATGGAAACATTAAAAAAAAATTTAAACGTTTCTCATTTTAAACATGTACGCACTTCGAAGGTTCGTAATGAACTGATGTTACTACCTGGTGTAATATCTATGTACATATTATAATTGGCTGACACAATATGTACATACATTGTATATATACCATATACATTGTATCAGTGTACATATGTACACTGATAGAAAAAATTACAACAGTGTTATAATGCCAACACTGTTGGAATTCATATACCGCATAAAAAAAAATCGCACAAAATAAATAGCGCAAAAAAAGTCGCATAGAAAAGAACCGCTCAAAAACAGGTTTGATTATATATCCTCAAAATTTCGAGAAAATAGAGGGACAGGATTGAGAAATTATGAGAACTGACGATGAGATTAGTAAAACTTGATGATTTATGATCATCCGAGGACCTCGAAAAACCGCCAGCGACAAGCGAAATGATCTGAGTCAGTCCTACCGGCGCCAAACAAAAGAATCCCGATTAGACCGTGCGGACGGCATAGTGTTAAAAGAATACCGAAATTTTATATATACACGCATTGTACTTAATTTACATACTTACTCAGCCTAATAACATGTATATATCCAAAAGAAGTAATATTAAAAGAGAATACTGAGATTTCGTATGTACGCATTGTACTTGCAAATTTATAAGTTTATTCTCAATTTAGTGATATGTACGTATCCAAAAGTAAGAAATTGAGCCAGGAAATATAAGATCATGGTGGAAAATAAAAAAAATATAAATATGTAAAAGGACGTGATGTTCATATTGTACAGCCTACGAATAAAACATGTACAAATTATATTTCCGCTATATAAATGTCCAATATTCGGTACAAATGCAATAACACGAGCGACTTGTGTCGTTATTCAAGATCCACCGTGTTGGAACTTCGTCCGTGCAGGTGGAATATTATATCTAAGCTCGAGGTATTCCGGTTTCCTGATCATCGACGCCACGTGTCCCATTTGGATCGTGCAATCGGGATTCAGATTCGGCGGTAGTAACGTGCATTCTCGTTCCAAGATGCATGCCAGTCCTTCGAGCAACTCGACGAATCCGATCGATGCAGCTGCGCGTCGTAATCTATTCACCTCCTATGCGCGATCGCGAGATTGATTACTTCAAAATCGTCTCTTATATATGAAAATGAACCGAGTGTACTTTTTCACAATCACGTCGATTTACCTTGTAGAAATTCTGCGTTTTCTCGGGTAATTTCCGCGCGTGTCTTAATATCTTCTGAATGTCGGATTGCAAGCCGACCTGACGAATCCACGAGGGTGAATTCTGCGTGTAACTTCTTTTCTCGGTGGGTCTAACTGGGAAACTAGCTCCGGCAGCCTCAGCGGTGTCCGTCGGGCCTAAGTTGCTGAAAGTACCTAACCATGGTATAACGTCGCATCCCTGTTCTAACACCGTTAACATCAAGTTGGACTTCTTCTTGGTATCCGCCCAAGAGTATATGAAGCCGTACCAGTCGTTATTCAACAAACAGAGGGCCGCCATATTTTCCACCTGTGAAACACGTCGATTTCTTCTTACGCACGCACATCGATTTCGGATATTTAAATCGTTAGACGGCTGAAGGTACTACTTTCAATGCTCCGTGAAGCAACACGCAGAAGGACGGAATCTTTCCTTCGTCGCCGGTTTCGTCGGTGTCAGATTCTTCCTCCAACGATATGCCTTGCATACTCGCGGTCTTCTCCGTCGGCAACGGCAATACCAGGTGCCGGGAAATGGCGCTTGGGCTACCGACGTCCCCTACGGATATGAATCCACAGATTTCTATGGTATTCGATATTACCAGACCTGAGACCAATTCGAAGTCAGTCTTCTTGGTGTAAGGCTGAAACATTGAACAGTATAACCTTCGTACACAAATGTTCACAGTCATCTATGATGCATATTTTCAATGCTTGTTATTACCATAGGTGCGGGTGACAATGAAATACGGGAACCTAAATGGCCACATTTCAGATATCCTTGGAAAGAAACGTAATTCGTCTCAGCTAGTTTCTGGAAGCAAGCTGTGACCGAGTATTTGCCAAGCGGTGATTCTGGGACTATTATAATGCTATCACCACCAGCTAGATCAACTAAACGTTGATACAAAGGTAAACCTCTTTGCAAAGCAGCATCTGAAAATATAACACAAATATACTTATATGTGTATAATAAGGAGATAAGGATATAGTGTTTTTATTTCTCAAACCCTTACCTTGTTGCGGTGCAATACAAACGACGCTCAACTTTCCCGGATATGGGAAAGGTAACGGAAAGGGACTTACATCCAGTATGTTATTTAAAGTACTTAAAGAATGGGCTAAAGACATAGGCCCTATGCCAGGATTACCATCTGTAATCAATATCACTTGGCAAGCTGTCGTATTACCCCACTCAGCCATTATTACATTATTAACACCACGTAATGCCGATTCGATACATGTTTTGTCTTGTTCTTCGATAGTCTGTAATTTGGCGCGTATACTGTCGTAGTCCCGAGTGAAAGGGCAAATCACTTCGTACAACGACGAAAATACAATCTGCCAGTTGAAATTACTTGTCAAGCACATATATACTAATGTAGGTCGACTGAACGCACGATAATATTAAACTCACCAATGACACAAACTCCAGCTTTGAATTAACTTGCAAATAATGCAACAGAGCGTTTATACCGTGTACTGCTAAATTGTGCCGTGTCAATTGTTCATTTTGTAGGCTGTCATTCATTCCATTGCTCAACAAGACTCTTCTCATTGACAGAGAAACATCCAGTGCAATTACCGTAGGCATCTTGATACTAGAGCAAAACTTCAATAAAATTAAATACCGGAGATACTAGAATATCTCATAACATATTCATAAATCAAATTACAGCCCTCAAATCTCCGCGATTGAAGCTTCATAGATTTCATAACACACAGGTTATGCGGAAGCTTGTGGTAACACGTGTGTTGCTTCTTTATCTATTAAGCTCGATGTATAATTAATACATTAATAAGACATTAAATTTTCCCATATTTAAGGCTCAATCTCTTGTTTTGTAATGTGTTTATGAATAATTAGCAATTTTGAGGTAAGAATACTTCTGTGCCATGTTCATCGACATTCCTTGCTGTTACAAACACCGGTGTGTGTTTTGAGAACTCTAACCTAACTAATCGATGATTAGTCGATTTATGGATTAACGTTTCCTTCCTCTTCTTCTATGGATATCAATTTCTATTGGAATTATGATCTTTTAATACCTATGTTTTATTCCCAATAATTTGTTGAGAAATATGTGATAGTATTTCATACTATCAAAATATTCAAACTATTAGAAAGTTGTAACATTTCAGAGCGTGTTATATATATATGTGTATATGTGCACACACACACAACATTTCTAGAATTTTTTAGCATAAAATATTTTATGGAGAGAGAATGTGTATATTATGTAAAATATATATTTTTTATATGATATAATATATATGGTATGAGACAATATGTATATATTGTCTCATACCATAGAGTAACATAACTTATAAAGGGTAAATATAATATTAAAATGTTTCACAAATTACTATAACAAACCAATATAATCTATTTTTTTTATAAAACACTTCATATTTATATATAACATTTATATATATGTATATACATATCACTTTGCTTGTATTATTCAGTTTACTTATAACTAATATTACATATATTCTTCTCTTAGAGAAATAGGATAATAAATTAGAATAAAAGTAATTGAATAAATGATCACTCATTAACAATACTGTCCATAAACATCTAAATGTACAAAGAACCATCAGCAGGTCCTAAATATCTCATAGAAATTAATATCACGTCTATTAAAGTCCATACACCCAATCCGCCAAAACTGAAAAGCTTTCCAATTCCTTCTTGCCAATGTCCCAAGTAAAACCTGTATTTCGATCAATATCTCATGAAATTCACATTCAATTATAGAAAACAGACATATCTGCTTCATATGATATTTGAAAAGTCGACATACCTGTCCGCTCCAAATCCCCCAAGAGTGATACTCAAAATCAGAGCCGTAGACCACCGGTAGCCAACTGTCCAATTACATTGCAAGTTTTTCATGAACTTCCTTCTCCCCAGGCACAGTATGTCATCATTCACTGAACAATTTGTTCTACAACAGTTGTTCCAAGTATTGTCCAGTAATGCTATCACAAGTACAAATAAACAATTAAACGACATCACAAACCTGTAATATTGTTGCGGAGATGCCACTGAGCTACAAGAATTTCTCTGCTGACACTGATGTTCCCAGTGATCAGTTTGATAACAATAACGACACATATATTTCTTTTGAAAGTTCTGCTCTCCCTATTAAGAACAGCAAAGCATTTAACATAATGATGTATTTCTAAATCTATGAAAGAGTTGTTGAATTTAATAAGCAAGTATTCATAAGTTTTACATACTATGCAGTCGACATGTTCCAACACAGAACAGTTAGCGACATACATTGCGCCATATACACAATTATAATTCAAATTACACCTTAAGCACTCGCTACTCAATTCCATACAAGGTGTCCCACTTGGACACAGATTAGCTAATTCCTCCTATAATTAAATAACTCAAATTATACATACATATTGTTTTCTTTAAATTTATTGCGTATGGATTTAATAGATCTTACCTTTTTACTACTATAGGCTGGTGTAGAATTGACATTAGCATCTTTCATAGCATAACTGACTAAGCTTTCTGCAATTAAAATATCGTTTATTCGTCACAATGTCTGTTATGATAAAAACATTTATTTATTGTTTACAATTATTGTAATTTATTTGTAGGAGCTCTGTAAAAATTAATTATACAATAATGACATAATATTTAACATTAAGTGCGTTGTAAACATAAAAATGGTATTTTAGATATAAATAACATTGTGTATGTAATATGCATTGCTGTTGAAATAATGTACAGTTGTGTAGAGTTAAATATACTGACCATAACCCATATGAACTTCTTGAATGGAAGTTGATAAAAGTGCTATGAGAAGAAATATCACATTTCTCGAGTTGATTCGCACGACATTCATTCTGAGTGACAATTCGTTTCACTGGCTGGTTACTACACCCGCCGAAAACCTCGCCGTTCAAGTTGCTGAGCTTCTTCCGCATATATAAAATCAAAAAACGCGAACGCGTCTCGCACCGAGTATATTTACGATATATGTATACAATAATGTCTTCTACTCATAGAACGCGGAAATGCTTGCCGCGAGATAAGAAACGACGCGATATCGAATAAACTTTAAGCTCTCATGGAAAAATAGCATGTTGATTGGCTGCCGTGTCGCTCTTCGCCGCGCGAAAAGCATTTCCGCGTCTGTGTGCAGAAACCATGGCATTGATCACACTCAGCGGGACACTTATTTTATCATTATTGGAAGTTTTTTGAGTGAAAAGTAAAATTTCGAAATGTTTTCAAATTAGAAAATTTACAGTTCACCTACTCAGAAAATTTTACCAGTTCACCTACAGAAAAAGATTTATAATCTCTTGGAGGTTGACCATGAAGCTTTTCCTGCAGCGTGGATTTGGGAAAGTTATAAAAAGCGAAAAATAAAAATCATGAAAAGTATAAAATCTTTTATATTTACGATCGTCTTATGTTTATCTTCAGATGCTTCGTAGCCAATGAAATGAGCCTAATCCGTAGTCTCATACGGGCTTTAAGTCGTTAGAAATTGACTAATCACAATCGATTATTCTTCTCACATTTGATTACGATTGGTCAATTATTTAAAACTCACTACACTATGTAGACGCGTACGAAAGATGGCGTACGGACTGTGGCCTCGGGGCTTCCAGTAGCCACTCACGACAAAGAGACAGATTATTGTAGACCCGACCTTAGCTATAAATAAATGATCTAATTGCCGTTGAGTCGTACTACTTAAAAGGTGAAAGATTGATTTGCTATTAAATCGTACTATTCAAAAACAAAGGTCCGCCTCGCTATTGCCGTTCGATGATAGAATTTGAGTTTCTACTGAGTGACTCGTTACGATTGGACTTGTTACTCTTATCACTAATGAAATCCCCGCTAACAACCACCGTCTGCAACGGGAATTCATGGTCGTAGTACGACTCAAGAGCGGGTCAGGCTCACCTGTGACCGGCGGAACAGGGCAACGACGTGTTCCTATTAACCGTCGCGTCAATTCGCGACGAAAAACTCGCTATTGGCGATCGCGCGCCCACGAGAAGCGTATCCATTTACTCGATCGATCAGAGAAAAAGAACGGAGGAACAACAAGCGGAAAAAGGAACGAAGGTAATTAAAAAAAGAAAAAAAAGAGGAACGAGAAAGAGCAGGGTTCGCGTACACTCTTGTTCCTGTGTACAATCAGCTGACTTCCGGTACTAAACGAGACGGTAGAGATGTAAGGTGTCTCCGCGGCAGTCCCATTGACGCGAAGGATAGTGTGTTTTTTTTTTACACGCGAGAGGAACGAGACACCGTCCGTCTCTTCCTCGCGAGCCGAAGTGTCGTCGCGCTTCCTCGCGGCCTAGTTCCGGCCGGAACGCGATGTCAGTCCCCGCCTAACCGCGCATCGCGGAGTCACCCACCCAGACACGAAGTTTCGTGCAGCGAAATTACCTACCAGCTCTTTCACCCGATTTTTAGCGGATAATTACGTATCGCGCTCAATGGTAAGCGCGATCTCGCGACGACAACGTCGTTAGGAGAAATAAGGATTAGTTTTCCGCCTCTCCGATCTCTCTCTCTCTCTCTCTCTCTCTCTCTATCTATCTCCGTCGGCGAGATTGGCATCCACGTGTGTCTTCGTTTGCAGTCGGATGCAGTGTAACGCGTTCACCGCCGGTATCGTCGAGGATAACATGAATTCAGAGGAGAACGGCGCGAGTGGTCAGGGCAGGGCGGAGGTCAGGATGGACGGTATGAAGAGTGACAATCAGTCCGGCGACCAGGTCACCGTGACGTCGAAAGTGGCGCAGCTGGAGGGCAGAGCTGCCGGTGAACAGCTCAGATTGAACAGCAACAGCAGTGAGAACAGTTCGGTCAGGCTGATACCATCCAAGATCAACGTCGTGTTCCCCAACAGAACCAAGTCCGGCCAGACTGCCGCGTCTGATTGTGCCAATTCTCTGGAACAGAATGCTTCTCAGGACGCGTCGAATGCGAACGTGTCTTCCGTGTTTATGAGTAGCAGCAATATCAAGCCTCAGACTGCGAACACCAATGCCGTGTCAATTGAAGCAATGTGTCAATTGATGCATAAGACTGTCGCGAATACAAGCGCACTGAATCTGCCTAAATCCCAGATGCACTTGAATCTATCTTCCGCTCAGGCGAATGTGCACCATAATCATAACTCGACGTCGGTCTCCCTCAACTCCGGCGTGGTCAGCAACAATGCCACGTCGCACTGCGGCGTGTCCACGTCAAGCTCGTCATTAACGCCTGCTAATTTATCGATGATCAAACCAAATGACGATATAGATATGAAAAATAACGTGGACTATGCGTCAGCGATAGAGAAATGTCCCTCTAAGGTTTCTTGCAGTTCGGATTCTAGTCCAGAAGCCGATTGTTCCTGGACATCGAAGTCCTACGGATCTAAACGTGTACTGAATAACATAGGCGGTAGTATAGGTTCAACGAGTCAAGGTACTTGTTGCGTCTTGAGACCTAATATCAACGGGAGTAGGGAAGCGGCTGGTCCCAGCGGGTTACAGAGGGTAGGTTATTGTCGTAGAGTTCTGAGTTCTTGTTGAGGAGGAGAAAGTAATGCTCGACGAAGTAAAGTTCGATAAAGTCAGTTTTTAATCCAATTAATCCAAAGTAAGTAAATAATACGGTTTCACAGAGGGAACAAGTTGAGCGAATGGACTCTAGTTCTGGGAACGAAGGCGACATGTCCGACGGGGAGGATTATTGCATCTATACTTACAAGGGGAACGACGATGCGATTCATCTGGATCAGAAAGAGGAATTGAATCAAGGCCACGTGGAGGATCGCGGAGCAGCGGGGCAATATCACAGTGGTAGATCGAGTCCAGAGATGGACTTTCTGGAAATGGACTTCGATCCTGGGCCTTCTTGCGAGCAGGTAGAGCATCTCACTGCCGTGAGGATTAACTTCACATCACATCAAACTGTGGCTGTCGTGTCGGATCGCAACGTTTCTCATTCGCAGGATACCGGAGACAGTGACTTGGCCTCTATAAACGAAGATATACAGAACATAGCGTTAGACCACGTGGAGCCGGATCCGATTCTGAATGATCTGAGCAGCGGAAAGGTGGTGTCCAGGCAGACGATGGCCGCTGTGCCGCAGAACTCGAGACAGAGCGCGCAGAACGTCAATCACACGGCCTTCCAACAGTGCGCCAGTAATCAACCCGCGATAGAGCAGAGCGCAAAGTCGACCTATTCCGCTCCGTGGATGCCTAGCACCAGCTCTGGTACGATTCCTCGTTTTCCGTGATCGTTCTTACGGTCTCAGCAGAATGGTTTGGCTTTATCGGTTTAAGGCGATGTTTTATGCCTTAAGTCTTTGTCTTGAGCAACGCGACACAATGACTGTCTTGTGTCTGGAGCCTGGAAAATGTAATAGAATATTAATTTAGACCAAGATTTATGGCGCAGAACATCGTCTCGGAATTATAAGCTCAGCCATTCCGCTAAGGCCCTAAATAACGCATAATAACTGTCTTGTCTTGAATCTTAAACCAAAACGCTATTCTGTTTGTGACCGATGACAAATCGTCGTGTATGATGGAAAGAAAGTGAACAAATGATAATTCAGGTAAAGACTCAGGGCATGAAGCATTGTCATCGTCTTACAGGAAGATGGGAAAGCACGTCGCTCTATCGCAACACAGGTTGTCCGCTGCGTGGATTTTACGGTTATCACAACACAAGCGGCGATCTTATCTCGCCCGGCGACAATCGTGACTCGGATTCGGAATTGTGGGCCGAGCCGTCGACAGCGGCCGCCTCGGACAATTCGAATCTGAACGCCAGAAAGATCAATCTCACCTCGACACTTTACCATCGGATGATGGCTAAGAAATTGATGCTCAATAAGCAGACTGCGTTCAACCAGAGCGGCGATTCGAATCTGGTCTGTACATCAACCGACAACTCGACAGCACGAAGTATTCAAAAATCGAGCGAGCCATGCGACTAATGCCCGTTCCTACCGTCATAGTTTAAATCCAATCGACGATCAACTCAATGGAATTGACCAATCGCATCGATCAGTTCAGACAATTGGCCAATGCGACTGGTCGATTCCGTTGAGTTAATTGTCGATTAAATTTCAAGCACGATTGTAGAAACGGGGGATAAATTCTCAATTCTGTTCGCATGCAGGAGAGCGAGTTGTGCAACGAACGGATGGACGGACTACCGCCGGTGGAAAAAGTGATGCTTTGGAGTGAGCAGGAAGCCACGATGAAACAAGTGACGCAAATCGGCACTTCCGCCTGCGGCGCCACATCTGCGTTTAACGCCTTGGTAACCTTGAGAGATTTATTAAATTATTACTGTTATTATTATTATTATCATCAGACGAGATTCGAGTCAAATAAGTTCGCACATATCTATCGCTCTATGCGCCGTCTCTGTTTACAGTTGGCTTTGAACGTATCATTTTCCCTGGAAGTATTAGTGAAAGGTGTAAATACGAGATTGAGGGAACTGGGGGTCTCATTGCCGAGATATCTTATGAGTCGGTCGGTCGCGGGGGCAACTCACAAGGACATAGCGCGAGGGATATCTCTGTCAACAAACGGCGCGGCAGTAACGAAGTTCTTCGCATTTTATCCGGAACGAAAGGTGTCATTGTCTCATTGGCTGCATTATTGGATCTCCAAAGGTAAGAGGAGTCGAATACATTATTTGGTTTGGCGCATGTGTATAGCACGGAATCTTACTTCCATGTTTCCTCAGGTGCCGCGCCAATCGCAACATTGAATCTGCAGCATTGCGGCGAAGGCTGCGATATACCGGACGCGTGGCACCATCAGATGATATTCGGCGTAGGACAGGCTGGCATATACTTAACGAACCCCTTAGAATGCTTGCCCGAAGAGGTTCGTATCAGCTGACACACCAGCCCGCGAGTCATCACGCTGATTTGTCGTGCAAACAATTATCTCGCCGCTGCGTCCGTTAGAACGAGATCTTATTCTTGTAACACGCTTTTAGCTCTTGTGGCATCAACTAGTTAGCCCCAGTATCCTGTTAATAAGAAGGACGGACGTTCTAGCGCACTGGAACGCGAATACGGATCTGACGCCGCTCGCAACGATGGATCAGAAATGGCGGAAGCTTAATGTTCTTGGTACGTAGGAAAAAAAAAGACAGGGTGGAAAACGCATCTTTTCTGGAAATACCGTTGAAGGTCTTTATCTCGTAATAATTTCAATGAAATATTCGTCGGCAACAGGACAAGTTGTAAATATGGTGCGCGGAGCAATGAGCCAGAGGCAGCAACCCAACAGTACTACCACGGGAGCCACTCACATTCGCATACCGGCGTCTTACCAAGCGGGCATTACGTTGGTCATGTGCGCGGATTCCGCCGCCGCCACCGAGTTGTTACACGCCGAACAACTACCGCTACTCTAGTCCTGTTATTCTAAAACCAATAAATAGAGCAGACCGGTCGATTTAATTTACAGTGAATTTTATTAGTAGACCGGTCGGCAATGATATTTATAGTTTATTTACTATGTAAACAGAGATAAACACACAGACCCGACGGAACGAACATAATTTACATTTTTGACACACAAAAACGCATGTTTGTATTCAAAGAGAGAGAATATATTACTGATCAAAATATATTTCAATAGAGAATATTTCTGTTTTATACGCAGTCATATTCACTAATAAGAAGGAAAAATATATCGAATTTTCTCTACAAATACGATTGCAGTGATACTCTGTTATATATGTTTATTTCTGCGAAGAGAATTGCAAAAAGACAGGCGGTATAGAGAAAAATAAGATATCTCGCATCATAAAAATCTATTAAAAATTTATTCGATTGACTTTTTCATCGCTCAACTTTCGTTATCTTTGCTCGTTTTTTTTTCCTTTTTTTAATAGTAAAAATGAGCGATATACATACTCACTAAAAACGAATGCGATAAATTATTGACAGTTTTTCTTACAATGATATTCTAGAAATCAGATTTAACAAACGGAAAGTATGTTCTTTTATTTGTGAATTTCAATATTTTATTACACTGTGAGTTGTGTATCCTATGTCGGAATTGTGAAGAAGTGCTTACTTTGGATATGTCAAAAGTAAGCATGGCATAATCTTGTGCAATCGTAGGTTGCCATAAATATTCGGATTTATGTACATGTACACAATCTACAGTCCAGCACAAACTTTCCAGTTTATCAGGGACGCCTTTGTATTTTTATGACATACTGAGGAATAAAAGTCTTGTATATAAAAAATCATCAACATAATTACATAAATTACTTACTAAATCTCTATATTCAAATTAGAATCTCACCTTTCTATAAGAGACGCGCGCATACTTGATGTGATAGCAGCTGGGTTAGCTTCGTTAAGTTTAAAAACACTTTCGATAACTGAGAGTTCGGTTGAAGTAGTCTCCATGCCGCAGAAAGACACCCAATCATTTACAACCATACCAGCAGCAATTACATTACTACCTCTATTTACAGTACCAGCCTAAAATACAATTAAACCAGTTAAAAAAAAAAAAGAAAAGCTCCCGTTGGGCTTTTTCAGCTTGTCTTACCGCAAGTGGTACTTGTAAAAGAGATGACAACTCGTCTTGGTCCTGTATAGAGGTCTTTGGATGCACCATACCACCTTGATTTGATAAGACTGAATATGATCCAACGAGAACGTTACTCGCGACCGTTTGTCTAAATACTTCCACATTCAGTGTGTCAGCCAAAATTTCCTCAGTTTCCTAAGAGTCAAGATTGTGAAAACTTGGTATTATCAAATTGGCATGCTTCAATTATAAATTTTTGTTTATTCCTTAATATAAAAAAATATTTTATATACCCGATCCAGGTCAGGATGAACAAGAGCAACATAATCATTACATGCTACAACATTGCCAAGAGCAGAAAGCCTCTCCTCTACTCTTTGTACTTTCACACTATCTGGCAAAGAATTCCGAATATGTTGCAATTCTATGTCTGTCGTTGTGTTTGGTACTAACAGTCCATTTTTGTTTCCTATATTATGGTCATAAAAGTATTTACATACATTGTATACATATTATAGTATCGTCTTGTTTATATACAATAACTTGCGGTATTCATAACATTTTTAAGTACTGGTTATCTCAAGTTTGGTTATGTAAAAACAGTTATTCTTATTGTTATGTACTTACCAACGCATAGCCGACCAATAATACGACATCCAGCTATAGATGCGTGAACAACTGGAATCGTCTCAGATAATTCTGCTTCGAATACACTGAAATAACATTATGCATACATAATATAATAACATTATGCATACACAACATAATATAGTGGTGGAACTATAGCAATTATAATCAAGTGGTAATAAGATTGTAAGAACACAGTGACAGTGAAATATATATTTAACCAATATTTATAATGAGTTAACACGTTCCAAGCTAGATTAATTTTACATGACCTGAATTGCACATCTATTCTACTTTTAAAGAAATATATTGTAACGTATGTTTGTATATAATTCTAATTGTACATAATTCTACAAATATACAATTTACAATAGATTCGGGTATATAGATTAAGCACTCTTGACTAATAACAACATTGAAGGACAGATATACGAGGTTAGATATTCTCTCTGTAGCATAATATTCTTGAAGGGAGCGACGTAAGGGCGGCAAGACGGTGACAGTGAAAAAAGACAGTTTTTTCTCCACTAACTAGTTAATTGAGTGAGGCAAACACCTGAGTTTCTATTGCCATTCCTAATCAATGCTCTATTTCGTCTCTCTTACGCGAGCACGTGGTTTATAATTTTTAACTTTACGATTTAAAGGGGTGTATCTCTACTATCACATCAAAAATTATCAATATGCAAAGCAAATAAAAAACAGATTCTTAACAACGAAACTGCAATTTCCCGAAATTACGTTATCTCTCTATCTCTATCTCTGTCTCTCTCTCTCTCTCTCGGTGATGTCATACCTACCTGTAAAAGTTTTCGGAACCGCCAATTGCTACCAAGCAATAGGAGTTTGTCAATTTTGCAAAAACGCCAACCTCGTTATTGTTCTCAAATTGTACACGTACCGCCATGATTATGAGTGCACGATTATATCTTTTACATCGACTTCGGCGTCCTGATTACCCTCGAGTGTCTCGACGTCGTTTGCGGGACCCGCTAACACGAGGCATGATGTAAAGCCGGCGGCACACGGTACTTGTTTTCGTGTTGGATTGCTCGCTGGATAGAAATACTGCGTTCTGATTGGTGTATTTCCATCTATTTTCGGAAATGCACCAATCAGAACGCAGTATTTTTATTCAACGTGCAATCCAGCACGAAAATAAGCACCGTGTACCGCTGGCTTTAACTTATCGCACCAATGCACGTCAGTTCAGAAAGTTCTTCGAAAAAAAAATAATAAACCTGTCTTCTTACATCATAACACGAGGCTACGCCATCTTCTTCTTCGTAATCTTATTGGCTCGGGTGGAGAGTCCTCTATCCTGTGCTGTGAACTAATCCGCCGGATTTTCGGCGTCGAGTGCGGTTCGTTTAACATTTTGTAAGTTTCTACATTTTTTATTACATTCGGAATAGGTCAATTTATGCAGTTAGATATTTTGAAGCGTCAAATGGATCTTATCCAACGATATTAGAATACGATATTAGAAACCTTTCATTATGGAAGTATAGATTGTTAGCGACCAACTTCAAGCTTAGCTAAAGGCTGGATTATATATATTGTCGGATATACCGATTGGTTGTCAGATGGAGAATTTCTAGAGTACCCGACAATTTCTCTAGATGTCCTAGAAATTCTCTATCGAGCCAATCGGCACATCCGATAAACTCATCGTACGATGCATATAATTGAGAATTTACAGTGCCTCCGATATACGACATATGACGTCTGATATCCAATAGGATACGTTTTCTGACGAAGACAAATGAAGTAAAATCTCCTATTGGATATCGGATCGTCGTACGTCGGACATCGGAGTGAATCCTCATAATACCAGTCAAATACATCGCGCCACGGTCGGTCAACTGAGGATTCCATTGATCGGTATATTACCGATAGAGATACAGACGAGTACGAGTCGGAGAATAATTTGAAATTTGCGTATACTTCAGTGCGAGCGCAATAATGGCCGACGGGAGTTAATGGTTACGTACATCGTTCGAAGATTTGTATCGTCGCGTTCGATCATACGGGCGAGAAGAGACGAAAGAGTACGTAACAATCACGTTTAACGTGATTTCTAACGTGAGTTCTAACTTTCGTTCGACTTTCGAATTACCAGAAATAAGTACACCGTTCTCTTCACTGTTCCGTGTTAATCTATTCGCTAATCTATTAATTCCAATTGGGAAGCCGTCTAAAATTACTTTTACTCTTCCATTGTAATGTTAATGAAATTAGGGAAGATTAATTTATTCTACATAAAGCAAATTTCGAGCAACTTTCATTAATTATTACATTTCTCGATTGCTTTCTGATTTTTTATTCATTTTATGCCTCTACAGAATTAACGATGCAGAGCCGTGATGCTGCGTCCAGTATCATTCCCGCCGCCGTGCGGTGTTCTTTGTCCCGGTTGTGGGATCTGCTGCGACCTCGTTGTCGTCGACGAGCACCATCCAGCTGCCGTGTTCCGGTCTTCTCCAGTTAGCGTCGACGGAGCGCGGAAACCTGACGGCGAGGTGCCACCAGGTTCAAATGCTATTCAACGGCGACACGAGACTGCCGGGAGTGAGTAAAACGAAAAAAGAAAAAATCTGATAAATCCGAGAACTTTGCTCGATCATACATTAGAAGGAATTTGCGGGAAGATAAATCGAACAACAGTGCGCGTGCCGGAAAATACGTCAGTTATTCGCAAACCGCTCCGAAGAAACACCCCTTGTCGGCGGTGTTTCTTCTTTTAAGCGAAAAGTAACTTAAGCCCTTAAGCGCTTTTTACATCCACACTCCGAGGAGCAACAATCAGAAATGTTTTCCCTTCGACTGGCGCTTTAAAATTCCCACTGGTTTGCAATTTTAATCCTCCACTACCATCGAATCGAATTTGAATAACATAAGACTCGACACCGAGAGAGGCTTCGATCATCGCGAAGGAAACCGCCAGCGGAGAAATATCGGCGCGCAGCAACGTCGCCAGCGAGTCGGCCGGGAGGAACGACACGCGGATATCGCGCGAGCCCGACGTCTCGCGACTTCCCCGTCGCGGTCCCTGTGCGAGCTGCGGGAGATGGCCGGGAAGGAGTTGTCGCGGAAACGTCACCTGCGATTGCGACGTGTGCCTCGCGGCGCACACTTGTGGCGGGTGTTCTCCTAATTGCGCGTCGCGTCGCGCGAGATACAAAAGCAGGAAGCTGAGCTGCGCCGCCCTCTGCTGCACCGGCAGATCGGCCTGTTGTGGACGATCGCTCAGTCCACCGAAACGCGATTTTCGCTGCGGCGTGAAACGATCTTAAAGCGCGACGGTAAAGTGCCAAAAAATCGAAATACATTCAATCGGTTACGATATAAAATTGATAATGATTGATGGCACAAAAATGTTGTAGTGGAAATTATTATGTGTATTGTAATCTTTAATGATGTGTACAGATTAGAGATCTGCTTTTTGTCCTTGAATTAAGGCTGCACTGGAACCTCGTTCCTTTTCCTTTCTTTCAACGTTAAATGATGATATACTTGTATTATTCTAGCATGGAACAGTGCTATCTAGTTCAGGAACAGAAAATAAATCTATGATATACATTATTAAAGATATACAACGTACATCATAATTTCAGCCATAATTCTGGCCCGGCGTTACAAAATTTGGTGGTAATTTTTACTGCAATATTTTCTCCGTATAGAATATCCGAAAATTTGCGAATCGAAACACTAACAGATAAGTTCTACGTGACGAAAAAGACTTTCAAAAGACCAAGGCTATGGTATTTATAACCGGATTTTATACTTAAGACCGTCTTAAGTTCATCTTCTCAGGCGCATTGTAGCCAATAATACGATCTGCATAGTATTTGAAGATGAACTTAAGACGATCTTAAATATAAGATCTGACTATATGAAAATATCAGTTTAAGAGTGGCACAATTTTTCGTTCGGTCGCACGAGACTGGGATTAAAAGTGGAGGGGTTTACATACGATGTTGCAAGTTTATTTATAACAAACACGCTTGATTGTTGTATATATTACGACCGATGGCAATTCGATTTATGAGAACGCCGCAAAATTATCGTGAGAGCGATCGAGGTTCCCCGCGCAACTGAAAGTTTCATTTTTCAGCGGCGGCCAGGCATCGTTCGCGAGCTCGAGCGGGAAAATCGTCGCTACGTTCCTCCTTCCGGAGGGTCATATTGTCTCGCGTTTATTCCTCTTCATATTTATGCATGAGCAATAATTGTTATCGGATCCGTTTATTTGCAAGTTCGCGGACGATGCGCGCTGCTCAACCTCAAAAAGTGTCAATAAAAATAGCGATTGGTGAAAATCATTGCTTTATTAAAATTCGCCTGTGAGCGTTACAAACGAACGCCTCGCGTAGTTCTCGTTTTGATTGGTTCTGGGGATCGCGTTGATCGGTGCGTCTTATTTTAGAAGAATCTGTTCGGCAGTATATTTCGCGAGAAATCTCGTCGTCACGACGGATTCGCTCGTTTCGAGTCGTTCGTAATTATTACATGCATATATCGTGTGCGTTTGTACGTGTGTATGTGTGTACACGCTCTTCTCCTAAATTATATTCCATACACGTAATAATCGACGATGATAGAAGTAGATCTACAGCTTTCGTATTTGATTTCGTGCCACTTCGCTTTTTCATTCTTCTCTCATTCGCTCTTACGCTATCTCACTTTCGCACTCCATACCTCTCACTTGTTCTCTCTCTCTCTCTCTCTCTCTCTCATTCTCACATCTGCGTGTATATCGATATAAAATAAACGCAGTAAAGTCCCCTCAGTTGTTCGAGTTCGGCTTGAATGTCGTGTATTGCGGCGGCTTCTCGCTCTTGAAATGCGGCTTCAACGTCGCTAAGCGATCGGGTTTGAGAAACAGCTGCTCCCCCTGCACAATCGCCATCTTAGGATCTTAACCCTCGATATCTCGCTAATTTCCATCCGCATTAACCCGCTACGGCTCGTAGGCCGACTGAATCTTGAATATTTATTATCTAGATCTTCTCGTGGTATGTCGGGTATTAGATACTATCTCGTAAGAAATTATTCCAATCTGTTCCGCTGAGACAGCACGAGAAAAAAGTCGCGTTGCAAATTAATTCAATAAATTGTGGCGGAAAGTAACGAAAGTGAACGTGACTGAAGGAGAAAAAAAAAAGACAAGAAAGAGAAAACATTCACGCATGGTTCTCTACGCGTATTCAACGCACGCAGAGCTGAAGAGGGCTAATGCGAATTTGTCATTCGTACGTATGCATACGCCAACAGTGCACTGACTTGCACGAATTGCTATCAACGTTCTACGGGTTGTTACTTGCGGCAGTCAGGGATCTAGAAACTAGCATGGGTGTGCAATCTGTGCAATTCTACGCGCGTCCGAAAACATGGCGCGCGAGGAGGTAAAGTCGCGAGAGCACGGGGTCTTTTTCTACAACCCCCCCCGGCGCGGCGCAGGTACCAAACAGTCCAGGTTATAACAGTCAGGGTAGATCCAGCATGACAGGCAAAAATCGAAACTAAGGGAGTAAGTACACAGTACGCGGTAGATATGTACATAGTGTGTAAACGAAGACGTACGTTTTTGAACTGCACGTAATCGTGTAAATATTATACAGATATATCGTATAAATACGATAACTATTTATGCTCCTTCGTTGAGAAATCATGTGATAGTAATTATACAATTATTCAATATATTTACATGGAATCCCGGTGCACACCAACTAATAATAACGTAACATCAATATTATCATTCCCCGCACAACAATGTAACTGTACATAACACATTACACAGCACATGCGTTATTTACATATTGAGCGGGAAATTATAACACTGATGTTATGTTACTGTCGGTTGCTGTTAGTTGGTGGTGTTTACTGGGATGTATAATAAAGACAAATTTTTATGACTATGACACAATGACTGATAACGAGCAATGAATAATTGGGCCGACGAAACAAATAACAAAGAACGAATACGAATGATGCGCGCGATAGATTTTTTGTACGGCAAAAAAAAAATGTTCTTCATGTCAACGTGCAAAATTAATCGAGCCAACGTGTAAAACAAACGAAGTCAATGCTCATCACTCGTACACGATGTAAATTTGAAAGTGAAATCGTAATGGCCCAAGAGGCTTTTACGCGCGTGATCAGGATCGGGGGATATGCGTGGGTGCGATGACAAATGGGCAACACATACGCGTACATGTATGATCACCTTTTAATGACAACTTTATACACGGAAGAGAACTCGAGAACTCCTCTCGGAACTATTTCATACGCCGTACAACGGAGTCCCGTCATCATATTATTAGTCCGATTACAGAGTCGGTGTAATTCGCATCAGAACGACGACGACAACAATCAGGAGATACGATACAAGTTTTACTCACTATGGAGATTGATCGAGATAACAGCAAACAACGGTGCGTCGTACTTGAGCTCGGGGATGGAAAGTAATTAGTGGGAAGTCTCTCTTTTCTCTGTACACATATCTCGTAGGGTGCAGGGGTACATACAAAAATGCAGCTCCGACATGCTCGGACGTTGGGTCGGGCGACGCGCTCTGAAACGATCTGTACAGCTTGGTTCCCGTTTCTTCTCTCTCTCTCTCTCTCTCTCTCTCTCTCTCTCTCTCTCTCTTTCTTTCTCTCTCTCTCTTTTTTTATCGAAAATTCCTGAACCGATAAATCATTCGTACGACTATACTATACAACTGCGAACAAAATCACGTCGGCTCAGTTGTAGTTTAAACTACCGCTTGTAACAGCGATGCAGAGGCGCACATGGCAGTGTTGAACGTGAGTGGGCGATTACATCGCTGTTACCGTTAAACTTTCATTTATTGGACGACGATTCGGTATGTTAGATCGTGATCTAAGCGAGTATATGTATACGCGTATGTACATATGCACTTAGCGTTCGATTAATAATAATATATTTTATATATATATATATATATATGTATATCGTCGTTAAGTCGTAATGAGCATAGTTTCGACTAATTAATACCTATTATACAAACACCCTTGAATGGTTTTCGACGATTCATTGGTGTATCTCGAGTGTACAACGCGTCAACGATCGGACGAAAGAAGTTTTAGAAAAAGGCAAAAAATCATATTTTGAAGTATCAATATCCACTAATCGCGCCTACGACTTTTAATTAAAGGGGACAAACGATCGAGTGAAGTACGATCGATCACGACTGTCCTCACAACCGTGTAAATTTTCCAAAACAATCGGATAGCCTCGACACGCGATCGGCCGTCGTTAAGTAGTGCGCCGCTACTTAACCCTTATCGGACGCTAGCTTTTCATGCGTGATTCTCACTAGGTTGCAGCTGGTTTCGGTAAATATGCGAAAAATTTTCAGTATTATAAGAATAACATTTTTGTTAGAAATTATTTATTTTTTGAAGGAGTATTACGAATATTATGAGTTTCAAATAATTATTTATAAGTTTTTAATGTATGATATTTTTTGAAACAATCTCCAATATGAAGGAATGGTTTTCTGTTGCACGTTTCACAGAAGTATACTGTTGTTTTTCTTCCTCCAGGCAACTTACGATTAGAACATACTAAACAGTCATTATGTTTTCCTTTAGCATCAAGTTGGAGGATATATGTAGTTTTCCATCTAATCTCTCCTCATTGTCTGTTGTTGATAGCGTTCCATATCGCGCAGTTTTCTTTATTCATTTTTGGGCTCAATATGTTAAAAAATTGAATACAAAAGGCAGTGATATATCACTGGAGATGTCAATTACTTATGCTCCGTTACTTATGCTTAACTGACAAGGCAATCGTACCTGCATTTGACAGGGAGCAAGTTTCGACAGGTTCCGACTTTTCACCTCCTACGTGACGTACGACCGCAGCGACGAAGTATTGTTGTCACGTGAGAGGTGACTTACGACCGATAAGGGTTAAAGCGTAAATTTACTCATCTCGGTCGAGTCAGTCTTACGTTCTTGAATCCCGCAGAACGCGTGGCTGCAGAGTATACGTTCCTTTCTGGATGCAAACGAAATTAAGACAGGATGAAAAATGAGTTGCCTCCGCGAGAAACGAGCGAATTCGGGAGAATCGACGGCAGGGAATTCGGGCTTAACGAGGGTTGGTCGTGACACGCGATTCGTCGATTCTTCTTGGCCTTTCCGAGCACGTAGCGCTTTCGAAACATGCAATTAACCGTATTAATGAGCAAGCACGCTTCATACGTACGTACCGGAAAAATTCTGACGTACTGTTCGAGCGTTTATTTATCATAAGATTTCTAAGAATCAACTCATTATATGCAAATGTATGATTTCCTCTCTATAATTATTGCTGTGTAAAACATGCAAATGAGATATGTGGAACGACCGGATTCGAATCTACAACTTCACAGTTATCCGGTCAGTCAAAAAGTTCAGTTCGATCGTTTAATCATTTGGTCTCTATCGCATTCAACGTAAACCGATTATTCATCAGTCACAAGTAATCACGTCGTTGTTTACGATCTTTCGCCAAAGTCCTGGCATATAATACAATACACCCTTGGCCGATTTACCGTCGAAAAAGGCAGAAAATCCAGCCGAATTTTTCGACTGACTCAATGATACTATCCAACGACAAGTTAGAGACAAGAACTTATGTGCTAAACTATACGTTGCTTACTGGTAATGATCGTTGATAAACACTCGAACGTTACAGTCACGTTTCGTTACGGTCGAATTTCTCCGTGACGTTGAGGAAATGTTCTGTTCTCGCAGTTAAATTGCATAGTTCAACCGCTCCACACGCTCGTAGGGAAAACGGCAGAGATCAACGAGTCGTTCTCCTTAGGAGATCAAACACTCAATTTCGCAGGGAAGAATTTCCACTCGATCTGGCTAGTGTTTCTTTCTCTTTTTTTGTCTTCTTTACAAGTACGAGATATACGGCTAAATTGCACACACACTCACACTCATATACACACACACACACTCTCTCTCTCTCTCTCTCTTTCGTACGCGTTCAATCGCCCGTCCAGGGCGGCGTTATCGCCGACACGCGTTCTACTTATGTACATCCATCTGAATTAAATTACAAACAAGGACATGGCGGTAATTGGTGGTGGGACGCCCGGGATCCGGGATGCAACCAAATGCATGCGTAATGCACCCTACCGAGCGCATAAATCACTCAAGCGACTATCGCGATCGGAGAACGTGATAGTTCGATAGTTGCGCGAGCGCGAGCGTTGTCACCGCATTAGTATTTGTAATAATTCACAACGCGTTTGGATCGTCTAAAAACTTCCCGCGCAGATCTTGACGACGAGGGGGCGACCTGGGTTCACGTGTGATCGCAATAGTTATATAACGGCCATAACGTCACGATAAACTTTTACGCGCGTAATATCGCGAATGGGAATGGGCGTAACGCGTTATTTATATACTTTCATCGGTCGGAGTGTCAACAAATTTTTGGACGACCCAGTAGAAGTGTGTTTTTGTGGTGCATGTACGTATGTCCGGTACATTAAAGCGTAACGTGTGCGTGTGTTTATATTTATACATCTCCATCGTTTGGTCGTGTCTGTGCGAGTGTCTGTACGGGGTTATGTGTGTGCGCCCGCGTGTAACTGTGTATACGTATCGAAACAGTACAATATTTTATTTATATATAAAACCTTCGAGATCTTTCCGGGAGAAAAGGTGAAAAGTTTGCGCTCCTCGTTCCTTGCCTTTTTTAATCCGATTTAGCGTGTCCCGTTCCTCGTCCTGTAGAAGGAATTTTTCCTGCGCCAAGATTGCTCGCTCATTCATTCAATTAATGGACACAAATATGAGCGTGTGGGTGAATGGGTTAGTGAGCGAGTGGGCGGGAGGGGGGATTTGGGACGCGTCAATGTTTAAACAAGCCGTTATTTTACTTCCCTCTCTGTGCATACATTCCGTTTGACGAGCCCCCGCAAGCGAACGTTTGAAAAATAAATAATACCCGGTAGTCCCCGGCAAACAATCCGGCGAATTAACGGGCAAAAATAGGTCGTAGTGATGACGAGCCGTCGACGCCGGTTAAATCGCAACGCATAATCCGGACGGGGAAGGGGTTAGTTTCGCATTCGGGTCAAGTCGCATGCACTTGCAGTTTCGCTTTCGCGAATGCATCGAGATTAAATTTATACGCGCGTGCTCCGGTCGAGCTGGTTACTGTCAGACGAGTGCAAAATGAGCAAGCAGCTGAAAAAGTATCTCGTCGGGAGCGTAATAGAGAGCTACTGCTAGTGACGTGTGTTTGCCGGTGATTCGGCAAAATTGAGAGAGAACTCTGTAGCAGATTTGATGCGCTGTACATTAACGCGGGCGAGTAGAGTTTTGCATGCGAAGGGAAATATGGGCGCGAATCGGCCGTATTGGAGATCCGACCGAACCGCGTTCTCTGCTTAACGACGACTGCTTGCGCGAAAATCATGCCTTCGGGAGATATCACATTGTTCAATGGAACATTTTGTGTGCAAAATCACAGGACTTTTTAACGGTGAAACAAATCACTTTTCGGCTCGAATTTTCATCTCCGTGGTCTCCAAAAACGCTCCCGTTTGATCGCGCTTTCCAATATTACGTGATGAAATCGTATACGCATGTGTATACGCAAAGTGATGCTATATAATATATAATAGTTTGCCATATGATGTGTATATAGTGTGTATCATTTGTACAAGTTTCTCCTCTTTGACAACCCTCTGGACATGACATATTACGTACGTACTGTAGAGCATGTCGTGCAAAACTCTACGATCGCAGCCAACTAATAACTAACTCTGAACGTCGAAAGGACTCAAAGGACCGTGTGCGTGTGTGTGTATATATCTTAGTGTGTGTGTGTGTGTCAAAAACTTGCTGCAAACTTCACGTGCAATTCAGAAGCAACGACGTCACGTCAGAGACGAAAGGAGTACATACGAGATAGTTAGATAGATAGAAAGAGACAGATAGATTTAAGTAGATAGATATTGACACAGATACTAAGATAAGAAAATAAAGAGATAGAGAGAGAAAAGGAGAGGTAGAGAGAGAGAAGAAAAAAGAAAAAAAGTAGGAAAGATAGAGAGAGAGAGAGAGAGAGAGAGAGAGAGAGAGAGAGAAAAGGAAGAAAAGGAACGCGTCGGGGAATCCAACTACGCACTGTGCGAAAGAACGGGTTCGTTTATTTCTGTTTTCTGTCTTATTGTCAACTTATCTGACCTGCAACGTGTATTGTCCGTGAGGCTGCCCATGATGATGATGCCTCTGATAATGTTGTTGCTGGTGTTGCGGGTCATGCTGATAGCACTCCTGCTGGTATTGCTGCGACGGGACGGGCTTCAGAACGTGATTGGCTCGCTTCTCCGGGACGAACTGCTGACTCGTACGCTCCATCGTATCCACCGCCAAGCGTGGATCCTCTATCATCGCGTTGGAAGCCTTTGTACTGCGGAACAGCGCGCGGATATCATTTCGGTTTCGTTTCATTAGAAGCTTTGTGCACCGCATTCCACGTGATATGCGCGAGCGAGCGAGCGGCAATGTTTCCCGGGGGATTCTTTTTAAAAGCGCTCTCTATGACTCATTTACCTCGAAAAGGGACTCCAGACCGTAAGAATCTGCGCGTAACGTCAGGCTGTCGGGCAATTTATTAATCTCGTTACTCGGCACGACTCGTTCCTCTCCTCGAGAAAAAGACGCTCGCTACGCGGAGGAATGATTCTCCTTTCCTCTCGAAATTAAAGGCGCGCAAATAGAAAAATGTCTAAATACTCTCATCGAGAGAGATCCTCCCTTCTTTTTCCGCGAATTAAACGTTACTCGTTCCGTCTCAGCCGCCGGTGACAAACGCGACGAGGAAAAACGTAGGAGCTTCGGGAGAGGAAGACTTTCTTTGCTCGCTCTCTCGGTCCCTGAAATGCATGTCTCTCTCTCTCTCTCTCTCTCTCTCTTTTTCTCTCTGCGGCGAAAATCCCCGAAGTCCCCGCGTATGCAAATTCGCAGACGCTCCTGCGGCACGGCTTCGCGCGCTCCAATGTGCACAATATTGGAGCATCGTGCGCGCTGGCGTGATCCACGGCGGCGTCCGTCCGTATAAATCAGCGCGCTGCGCAATATCGCGTGCTTACCAATGCACTTGCTGCAGCGCCGGCACCGTGTTTCTGGCCACGCAGCACCTATCCGAACGTAGGAAACAAACGAATCCCATTATCAGTACCGAGAGCACCGTGAATCCGGCTACGGCGCCGATAACGAGCGGGATCTGCAGCAGAGAAAAATACTCTATGTGTGTGCAGGGCGCGGCTGAAACATTTTCGCGCGAACGTTCGCACCGTTATTCATGAGGCGTACGCGGTGGAGCATCCCCCCGGCCTTTTGCGTTGCGTTCGTACACTATGCCGTTAAATATTTCAATACGTTGCAGTACCATCGGATTATCGTTACAGCGTTTAATGACTCTCCACACCGAGAGTATCGTAGAAAAAATATGTACGCGCGGCGTGCGATCGTTTAGTAGACTTTGCGTCCGTTCTGTGGGATCTCCACCGGGAGCTTTATCGGCACGAATATTAATAGCGCTTTCGCGTATCGCGTGCGAAGGAGAATTCGGTGCCTCGGATCGCGTTCAAGATCGCGTTCATTTAAGACTGGTCTCTGGCTGCAACCGTTCTTGTTTGATGACGTCAGCAGCGAAAAAGCGGACACAATAAAAAAGCATTGTGCATCTGTGTTAAAACAATCGGTCCTTGTCAAAATTTTGGTGTTAAATTTTTAACAAACGAATATGTTAATTTAACATATTATGTTAAATCAATATTGTGTTGAGTTGGTATTCAACATGCAAGTATTAAAATAACACTTGTGAGTGTTAAAAGATTTTATACTTTAATATCGATTAACACAGATTGTAGATATTAATTCTGTGTGTCAATTTTTGACGTTATATTTGTATTACGTATTCTCAACGTATTCACCTTGTGTTAAATTTGTGTGAATCGTTTGGAATATGTGAAATGTGTAAATTTACTGTATTAAAACAGTTTAAATGTGACATAAAATTTTCACCGTGCATACTAAACATTCTTGCGTTATATGCCCAAGTAAAAAGATATATTTACAAAATGACATTTGTGATCAATTCAGTATATTTGTAAAAGTGTTCAGACAATTTTACAAGTGTGCTGAATCGATCACAAGTGTCATTTTGTGGATATATTTTGTTTTATTTGATCGTACAACGCGCAAGAATCCTTGGCATGCGTTTTCTTGCTTCTAACGTCATGAGGCAGGGACAGTTGCAGCGAGATACCAGAAGCTGTATCGTCGAAGAGTAATTTTTGCATAGATGGCAACGAATGCGACGTTTTACCTGACCAGGCTCATCGACTCTCAGCATGAGCGCACGCCTATCACTGCCACGGTCGTTCTCCACGATGACGTGATACAGCCTTTGATCCTCTTTCACCGTGCTCGTCAGCTCCAAGATCGCTATGTAACAGTCCTCCGAAGCCAACGGTTCCAGGTCGAGCGCGCGGTAGCGCGGCTCCAGAACCTCACCTACCGATAATAGAACGACGCCATGCATCTCGACAATTTGCACTTATTCCGTATATCCGGTTCTACGGTCTCAACTGAAATAAAACGTCGCAAAGTAACGGACGATTAATGCGCGAACTCCATAAGACGACTGGAAATCATAGAAAATCAAGCGATGAGCAAACGGAGGAGCGCGAATCATCAATCGAGAAAAATCGTGGGGGAGAAAATTACATACCAGCTGACGAAAATATATTAAATTAGAAACGAAAGTAACGTATCCCCGCACGCACGTCGTCGGAGGCGTGTAAAAATCCCCCGGATATCGCGTTCTCTGGCGTGGCGTGGAACAATTATTCCGGGGCGAAGAACCGTGTTAACGAAGATTAATTAATCTGCCTGATATCTCGAGTGACGACGGGAACGGAAAAATTTAGGGCGTGAGTATTCGGTAGAGCGAGAGAGAGAGAGAGAGAGAGGGCGTCGATTTGGGGCCTCGCGGAAATTGGACGGATGTCTCAAGACCGAACCGATCTCGTGGCTCTCGGGTTACTACGAGCGAATGATCAATTAACCAAAGGGGTAATTGCGAGCGGGACCGTCGATAAGGTACCCGTAGGAGTACCAATTATGCCGGGAAGCGCGCAGAGGAGAATGAGAGAGAGAGAGAGAGAGGGAGAGGGAGGGAGGGAGGAAGGGAGAAAAAAGAAAGAAGGATGTATACGAAAGAGCAATTCCGGGGAAGCTCGAGTGCTCTCCCCGTTCGCTCGGCGAGGTGGTGGCGGCAAGTTTAACGGGTCTGTGTAGTTCGGTGGCGGAGGTGATGGAAGCAGAGGCAGAAGTGGGGAGAAAAGAAGAAGAGGAAGAAGATCCGGAAAAAAGGGAGGTAGAAAAGGGAAAGAGAAACAGGAGCAGCGAAAGAAGAACAGTCGTTTATAGTATCTCGAAACAAAAGCCGAAGCGGAGTTTATACGTTAACGGTTCGTTGCGCGCTCTCGGTGACGGACGTCTCACGGTTTGCCGGAGACGCGTCGTGCGGTAACGAGGTGGACGCGTAACGACCGCGGGGAGGAATATCACGGAGGAAAGTTGCGCGACGAAGGGCCCAGGGATGAAAGTCAAAGAGCACGGTTAAAGTCGCGGCCAAGCCGTGATAATTTCGCGCGAGAACGACGTGCCGCGAAAGCGGAATTCGCCCCTCTCTCGTACGTACCGTAGGTACACACACATACACACACGCATCGTCGTCGTTGTCGTCCTTGCGCGTCCTGCCTCTCTCTTTCTAACGTTTCGAAAGATAAAGGGCCTCCGCGTCGTTGTGGGCAGCTCGATCTACGGCCGGCACTCGCGCTCACGTGCCCGCGTTATCGTGTTGCGAGGAGTAAAACAAAGCGGCTGGGAGATCAATGCGCCCCTTAAACTCTAATAGAAAGTTTCCGTGAGTCGGCCCATTAATTCCTCGGTCCTTCGGCCCCGGGCGCCGCGCCGCGCTTTGTCGTTTACTTGGGTGTGACGCGAACGACGCACTTGTCGCTCCGCCGCGATAACGCTGCGGCACAACCTTATTATTTCACGTACTGTTAAACGCCGGATTAATTCCCCCACGGCCCTTCGTTAGCACGAAAATCAACGTGACGCAATTTGTGACGTGTTTCTCCAAATAGCGGCGCTTTTTTCTCTCTCTCTCTCTCTCTCTCTCTTTCCGTCGAATCCTCTCGCGAGATACACCAATTAGCGCAAAATCGATCATTACATCAGGCGCGAGACCGGTGACGTAAAATCGTCGAACACGCGGCATTTAATGTCGACGCGATTGTCCGAGTTAAAAGCTGCCGCGTGTCGCCCGTGTTCGCCGGACAGTAGCGTCGTTTAAATAACAGCGATTTAATTCGGAAGAGCTCGACTCGATTATCATCCCCTCATCCCGCTTGTTTTCCACTTGCCCGCGCTCGCTCACCCCCTTCGGTGCGGAGGAACCGAAAAATCGGCGGCACGCGTGCCGAATACGCCGTGTATCGAGGAAATAAAAAAAGCCAAAAGCAAAAGCGAGATCGAATACTTCTCGTGCGATGGGGTTTATTTTGGGGAAGCGCAGTCTAACCGGCGTGCAGTCTGGTGCTGCCCCATTCCCAAGCTACGAGCCGCGGCTTCGGGTCGGAGCACAGTCTGATCTCTAATCTGGCCGGGCTACCCTCCGTCGTCGCCACGACGAACTTCTCCGTGATGGCCGGCTTCACCACCTGCGACACGCGTTTAACGTCCTTTGAATAGAAAGTTCCTCGTTCGTCCCCCCCCCCTCCCCCACCTCCGACGCGATCATCAAACGGCGTACGTGAGCGTCACGGCTCACCTTTATGCGAAACCGCTTCTCCGATCGCCGCGATGAGCCGTCAAGCTGGGAGAGAGTGTGTCGTAATGCGCACAGATTCGCCAAATGCATCGTTGGGACGAACCGGTTTGTCCTTCCCACCGTTTTTCAGGCTTACTGTATTACTATAGAAATGCTATGGACGCGTGTTTATCTGTCTATCAACACGTGACCGCCATGGCGATCACCGGTAATACTGTCGCATTTCATTAATTTACGCGCGAGATATAACGAACTGTACACGACAAATTAAATATGTGACCAATAGCGAGCCAATTACACGAACTGACAGATATATGCATCACGCGTTGCATTTATTTATCGTGCCTCCGGTTATATTCGAACTTTAATTGAGTTGTGAAATAATCAACGGAGATCGGCGCAACAGTCAACGCGTGTTAAGTGGCGTAACCTCGGCACGTATCCAACAATTGAAAGATGAAGGGAATTGGCCCGTTAAGTGCCGGATTTTCACTGACGATATCAAAAGGGAGGCCCTTATATAAGTTTATTATTTACTGAACAAAATACTTCCTACCTTATTTAACTTTAGTTAACTATTTAAATAATAAATGTTAATTTTGAGCGAAATTAAGACAAATATACATGCAATATAAACACGGAGGTGTTTATTTTTTTTTATTAATGCTTTATTAATAAAATCAATTAATAAATATGTGTATATATATATGTATATCGCGGATATTAGTATAAATTATCAATTTTCTATTATATTTTCAAAACAAAATGATCGATAATTCTGAAATTTTTGTATAATGTTTTTATATTAGTCTTTAACATGTTGAGTGCTGCGTGGACCATCGGTAGCCCACATTAGACTTTGCGTTTAGATTGTATAACGTATAATTTATGTTACTTCTTCTTCATAATAATAATGTTTGTAGTCTTGTAAATATTATAAGATATATCTTACAGTGTCCCCATCTCCCCGGTTTCTCATATTTTATTTTATTTATAGTGCAGATTTAATCTGATAATAATGTTAAAATTATGTTTTTCATGGCTCTGGATTATTAATTTAATTAATCATTAAACTTTAAAAATTATTACTACAAAATTATCAGTTTAATGATTAATCATGGATAGAAAAACACAATTTTTGCATTATCATCAGTTTAAATCTAAACTACAAGTTAATCAGAAAATGAAAAACCGAGCTATAAGGACATGTAATGCGGTAATCGTTGATCATCGGTAACCTACGCGGTGTAAATGGAAAGTTAAAATACGTGAAATTGGCTCGGCACTCAACGTGTTAATATCAGTAATTTTCTATTAATTCCTAAATATGGTTTGGAAGAAATTAAAAATAGAAGTTACAAATAAGACATTAATGTCGAACTAAAAAAGAATACTTGTAAAAAGTGTTATCTTTAAGTATCTCAGCTTCCGAATGGTTAACCGTTTTCTAAATTTACAGACGTGTAGACAATATATTCATAAATAATTAGCTAAAATTGAAAAAAGTTCCTAAGAAAATAGTTTGACGTATCAACTACTTTAAAAGTGTCGCTTACTATCGTCGTAAAGTGCCGAGATCTTTACAGACGCAAATAAAAACCGTTATTTTATCTGTAATGAACCATATTAAATTATATCTATTTACCGGGTGAATGAAGTCGGATAAAAAAGTGGCATTAATAATTCCGGGAAACTTATTGGAGACTTTCTTCGGACACTTCAGGTGAGCTCGAAGATTATACATGTGAATAACGCATTTCCCACAAAAGCCGTCGATCCGTTCGACGATATAAATTTGTCGACGCATCGCTCTTTCAGCAACGGCGTGGAAATGTTTGCAACGAGAATCGAAACCATCGCTGATGGATCGTCGCAATCCTTTTTATTACGCCGCACACACTGAAAGCTGCGCGGTGCTCGCGCGCGCGCGCCCCAGAGCGTACGTGTGTGTGAATGCGTGTGTATGGAAGAAACGTTATCGGGAGGAATGGTAGCGACTTCATAAAAATAGCAATTTAATTTAGATAAAAACGATCCGGAAACGTGACTAAACGAAATGCGAAAGCGGAAATAATATCCGGCATTCGCTGCGCAAACGAAATATTTGATCGCGAAAGAAACGCGTGATTGATGACGTCAGGCCGCCGTTTATAGCTTAATTTAACTCGTAATATTAATCCGTGCATCGCGAAATGAAAAAAGTATTATCGGGATACATTTTTCGCATTATACGCGAATGCGCTGCAATAATCCGTATTCATTTCCGCCGTATCGCGTTTCAAAATTCTACGTTCCATCTCGCGCACGCGAGAGAGAGAGAGAGAGAGAGAGAGAGAGAGAGAGAGAGAGAGAGAGGTATACCTAATTTAGCGTGTAAATGCAATTCATCATGCCCCCAATATTTATAGCGGCGACACTTGTCATGTTCACCGTACGGTACCGTGATCATAATTAAAACATTGATTTGATCATGCCGTATCGACATTTCGGCTGATTTCCAGGCACCGCTGTGCGGGCGCAACAAATCGCACGATAAAAATCGTCCCCGCTTCCTCCTCCGTTATGAGCGATATTCGTCTCTCGCTGTACATTGTGTAATATAACGCCCGTGGCGCACGCGCGCGCGTGTGCGTGTGTTCATATATATATATACGTGTGCCCGTCGGAATCAATTCGAACGGGGTAGGAACGTTAATGGCGTCGTTGAACTTTAACAGATGAAACGACCTATTAAATGACGAAAATCAAACCTTTGCGCTGGCCGTCCGGTGATCCGCGTTAAGCCATATCTGCGTTTCGTCCGCCGTGCTGCGCGAATTCGATTATAAAGGGAAAAAAACTATAAAAAAACAAACATACGTTACGGTATCATCGTGAAGTATGACGCGGAGTTCTTGTTTTTTTTTTTCCGGTTCGCGTTTTATACGACGAGCATCATCGCGCGCTGATTTCGGGCGGGCAGGTAACGATGCCGCGGCGATGCGAATCGCGGTCGCGATCGGAATCGCGATCGGGGTTCCCTTTATGCGCGATATTTGACCCTCACATTATACACGTGTAATATAACGCGCTCTGTGTTTATGTGTGTGTGCGTATGCACAACGCCGAAATCAATTTGGACGAGGTATCGACATTAATAGCGCTGCTAAATTTTAGCAGATGAAACGACCCCGTATTAAATGAAACGGAAATCAAACCTTTGCATAGTCAGTGACCCGTGCTAAGCCGCGGCTGCGTTTCGCCGGTGGGCAAATTCGATAGAAAAAAATAAAAAGGATGGGAGAGAAAAAAGAGCCCACGGCGTTGCATCACAAAGCACAACTTGGAATTCTTTTTTTCCCCCCTCTCTCTCTCTCTCTCTCTCTCTCTCTCTCTCTCTCTCTCTCTTTTACTTCTTCTCGTTATCGGTGTTATTAGCCGAGTAATTAGCTATCGGATTCGACCATCGCGACTGCTGGAACGGTCGAGTCGCGAAACGCCGCCGTAATGTCGCGATAATTGGAGTACAATTTAATCGCCGTTGTTATCACGTTATCATAACGGCATATTCGCAGATTTTATTTGCGGAGCGCGCGTCGTCGGGTGCGTATTAATCGACGGGACACTTTCAATACGCGGTGTAACTAAGTTTCATTAGAATTTTCTAACCGCATGCATTATTGGTTTATCGTTTATTGCTCGTACGAAGAAGAGAGAGCGCGCGCGCGATGTGTCAAAACGGTCAATCTGTCACCGTGACAGCTTTACGTTAATGTTAGCAAACTCGACGCGCGGGTACGATTGAAAAATACCGGTAACCTAATTGCACCGCATGGTTAAGGCCATTTTGCCGGCTAGTGCACGCGAAAAGAATCGAAACTACGCGCGGCTCCTACGGCGAGAATTAAATACGGCGGGAAATTCGACGGTCGAGTCGACGATTGGTCGCCATGGTGGCTGTATATATGTTTCATTGTCCGCGATAGATGATTACGAGCGAGATCGAGCGGATGGCACGCTTTTAATTTAATTGTTATCGCGATTATTTTTATATGCTCGAATGAAATAAAAGCGGGATGGGGTGCACAATATCGAGTGCACTATTTTAAACGGAACAATATGGTGTTCGCGACAATTAACGCAGATATCGATTTTTAATGCCGCGTGCAGCGCGCAATGAAACTCGACGTGACGTAATATGCGCGCGTTGTTGACAATAGAAATATTACAAAGTATACATCACTATTTGTAATTGCTTTCGGAGTCGAGTGCGCGCGCGCCCCTCTGTGTGCACACATCCATTGCCCCGCGCGTTATTTGAAGAACAATCTTCGAGCTACGTCGCTCGTTTTATCATAATTACTGGAAATATTAACGCGACGCTTGCTAAATAATAATATCGATGCATTATTATTAGGCGACGAATAAATAGTGTCGCGAGATATATGCTCCGGAATGTATGCAGACGATCGTAGAACACAATCGTCGGACGCGATATCTTCATCGGTTTCGGTTCCGAAACCCGACAAATTGAAGAGCATCGTAACCTTTTCGCCGCTGAGACTACGTCACCGCCGAAGGCAATTTCGTGTATATTACGATAAAAAAACACACGCGGAAGATAATCCGGAGAAGTTCATAACTTTCAATTTGCCCGTCAATTATTTCCTTTTAAACACCAGATGCGCCCCGAGTCCTCTTGTTATTTTTAGTTCTCTTTTCCCCGCAAAGTTAGCGCGGTCAGCGCGATCTAAAGCAGTTTCCCGCTTCGTAGTGACGAAGCGAAACGCGATTAATACGCGTTAGCGATGTTTCCTCTTGGTGGGGGAAAAAAACTGCATTTCGACAATTTCGCCACGATATTATACGCGGACGAGCGGACGAGAACGGTGGGAAGAGCGAGATATACTCGCTGATATCGCGTTACCGCGGCGCGGGCAGAGATATTCAATGACCCAGAATCCTTCAAAGTAATGAAGCGATATATTTTTTCGCGGCGATACAAGCGGGAAACGCGATTCACACACGTCCAGGGCGCGCCGGTAATTCTGATTTGCGACGAAACTTTTTCAACGTTCCGCCGTCGCCGTCTTACCCGTGGCGCGCCGACCACTTGCAGGGACACAGGGTCGCTTTTAACTTCTCTGACGTTCCCATTGATCTTGTTGGAGGCGAGACATATGTATTGGCCCTGTTGCTCGTACGTCACGTTCGTCAGGATCAATCGCTGCCCCGTGCCGCATTCCAATGGCATCCGGCCGTCCGTGAATACCTGCGCCCATCTGCACACACGTGGCCGCACGGAAATTTGCACGTTAAAGACATTTCCTGACGCGAATCCGTCGCGATATAGACGGGTCTATGTGCCGGCAGCAGGGAGAAATTCAAGACGAAGAACGGAAAAATGGATGGGAACGCTTCTCTGTGAAGAAACGTTACGACGTTACGATGTCAAATTTCGCGAATATGAGGGTCTCAATGCTGGAAAGGAACGCGTTGATTGCGCGCGCACAGTCCTCGGAGATTGGGATGCAATAATAATCCGATAATATCGAAATATCGTGGATCAATATCGGTAACACATTGATATTGTTCGATCGATATTGGTGAAATATTATTGATATTAGTACGGTATGAGTATCTGTGAGTTATTGATCCCCGAAGGGATTAAAAATGTGAAATATGAAGATATAAGTGAATATAATATGAATATAATATAAAGATACAAAATATAACACGTGGCGGGAAGCAATAGGTACTTGTAAGATGGACATCGGCGTGCTCGAAATATACAATAAGTATACTCATGATAAACTACTCACTCATGATACTCATGATTTGGTAGTTTGATGACACAACTACTACTGCGAAGCACACTTTTTCCTTCCCGGGCGGTATTTTTATATGAAAAAATATACAGTGCTCGGAACGTTCGGGAAAATTACGCGGATGATATGATATCATCGTGGACATGAAAAGAAAAAAAAAAGAAAGAAAAAAAGGTAAACCAATTAGAGAATCGTCGGAAGAATGACAAATATAAAATACAGAGATATGTAAAAAGAAGCGCGGCAGGTACTTGCGAGAGATGGATATCCGCATTGGAAATGCAAAATAAGTATATTCATAATCTGGTAGTCTAATGATATAAAGACCACGAAGCGTGCTACATTCGTTCCGGACAATATCTTTTTTTTTTTACATGAGAAGTTATATTTAGAAACGTTCGAAAAAACTGCATCAGTGATGCAATATCATCGCGCGGATGTAAGGCTTTAATGGATAATTATACAATGTCGGAAGAGTTAAAAATATAAAATATGGAGATATATAAAAAAGTAACCAGGCAATATCTATCTTGCGAATTCAACATCGACAGGGAAAGGCTAAAATAACCGTAAAATAAGTGCACTCATAAATTAACGATCTAATATGACATCGAGACTACACAGCATGCTGCTTTCGTTCCGCAAATAGTAATTCTATATACGAGGAATTATATTGCGCTCGAAAAACGTTTAGAATTCAAACGAGGCCTAATCATGTGAAGCAAACAATACGGATCACCTGTACTCGGCCGGCGGCATGGCGTCAGCGTGGCACTCGAAGGACGCACCGGAATACAGCAACGCTGTGGTCAAGCGGTCCGGTCCAACCGCGCTGATCGTTGGCGGATCTATGGAAAAAAAAACGGCGTTAGATCATTCACGGCGAAACTCACTCGCGATTATACCGTGATGTTCGTATTTTTACGCTCGAATACTATTTATTTCCATTTCCACTGAAATTTTGTTTTTTTCAAATTACATATTCATGTATTAAAAAATATTTATGACGTTGTTCTCTCATAGTAATTTCGAGTGCGAAGAATTACAATGAGAGAAGAATTCTCTTTGCAATTGCTGCCGGCGTGAAAATCATCGCATAAGATGAATGTCCCGATTAGTGACAAAGTAATCTCATAGTGAAAATAAATTAATAAATTCTTACAATAATCACGTGTTATAAAATACATGACTTTTGTCCTGTTTGAAAGTTTAAATATTTGGGATTCTAATTATATTAAATTTTTTTAATTTATGATAAAATTTTAATGAATTTATAATATGTTTTTAAAAATGACGGGAGTATCATTTAGTGGCATGTAACTTTCATTTGGTTCTAATTTATATGACACATGTATGCCTGTATTACTGATAGCTGACGAACATACGGACAGCCCTATTATATCGATAGGCAAAACTCATTATTCGAATGCCACAAATTGGTATAGAATGTCCCTATTATTACGTATTATATACTATTATCCTGTAAATTACGGATCGCGACAATTTCGAAACGCGATTCGGATAGAGATGATCGCGGCGGCGACATTACGTACAGTTTACGGACACCTGCACCGACACCGGGCTGCTCTCGCCTTCGATGTTCGACGCCTCGCAGAGGTAAACGGCCGCGTGGTTTCTGTAAATCGGTGAGAACAGCAGGGTCTCGCCGATACTGGCCACCTCCGTCACGCCGGGGCTTTTCGTTTTCCTCCAGAGGATCGAGGCTGGCGGATTGGCGTCGGCGAGACATCGGATCTCCAATTGATCGCGGCCCTCCTCCAGCTGGCCAGTCGGGACGCCGACTAATCTCGTCTCCGGCGCGTCTAAATTCATGCGAAACGCGCGCTTAATCACGCCAGTCGCGGCGCATATTAGTCCCGCGCGAATACACGTGTCGCCCTGCTCGTGTAATATCTATATCTTGGGAGAGGAAAGGGACCGACTTTCGCGTTTCCTCAGCTTTCAGTCGCGCAGCCTTTGCGGGCGCGTTCCGAACTTGAAACATTCTACGCTCTTAGCCGTGAATTTTCTACCCTAATCGCGTTCAAACATCAGTTTGTCGATGTAGTCGACATATGTACGTAGAATTTCCAGCCTGTGAAGACCTACATAATTACCCGAGTCGAGATCCCGGTTCTACATTAACTCTGCGAATTCGGTCGAACTCGAGCGACCCACGAAAATGGCCCTTTCAAAGATGCAGGATGCATTCGCAAGATTAATGTGGAACTAATATTTTTAGAGCCGAGTGGAAGCTGAGGAGACGAATACTAGCCCTTTTTTCCTCATGATACGAATATCACGTAATTTTAATATTAAGAGAAAAGACGCATATCCATTAATCTGATATTTGTATTTAACTTTCTCAATCGTAATGTTGTCTGCTCGGAAATTCTAGAGTTCGTCGGCTCGCATGCATTCCCCAAAATAATATGCGCTTCCAATGTTTTTCTTTCGAATTTTACCGAACCATTTATAGAAGACATAATTACATTAATAGAATGTGTGTCTCAGCTAATGAATATTCCAATTCAATTGATCTTTTTTATAATTTTCTGAGTCTCTTTAACCACAACTTTATTCGTACACTTTTATAATTATGTAATCGCAGGATTGTGCCAGAAAATGAATTTTGAAATTCCCTGACTTTTCCACATTTCCCAGAGGACAGTGGAAAATTTTCCATGAGTAATATGTAACCTTAAACTTTAGGTTTAGAAGCAGGAATCGCAGGAAAGGTAGCTTATGTTATTAGAAACAATACAAACGTAAAAATTAGTAACATAATATAATCCTGAATGCAAATTCAGACCAACAAAAAATAAATAAATGAGTAGTGGACAAAAGAATAGAGTTAAGAGCATTTGAGGGAACTGTGAGCAAAGTTCAAGGTTCCAGATTTTCCCTGACGTTTTAAATTTCCGTGACTTTTCTCGGTTTTCTTGATTTTCCACCTCTATGACAACTCCGAACCATTATCATATCGTTTTCGACGATAAATTATATTTCGCTTTCTTTTGCATATCAAAGAGCATTAACTTATGTAAAATAAATAAATAATCTCGTCAAGATCTACAAAATTTGAGAAACAATTGCGCACATACACATATACACAAACATACACATAGACACACACATAGGCGCGTGTGCATTGCCTTGATAATAACATATTTAATTTTACGCGTTTGATAAGGTTCCGTGAGAGGGAACGGTATCAAAGAGCCGACTAAGAGTATAGAACTGGAAAGCCAGACTGAGAGTTGCGAAGGGTTAATTAGAGACGGTGAGTCCACGGCCGGCGCAAGGATATTTGAACATGATTATGACCTCGTAACATCAAACGACTCGCGCGAATATTATCTCGCTAACAATATTAATATGATAATGCTGCATGCCCGCCGCTTCTTTGGTACGCGCGCTCGTTACCCACCTTCGACGGATCGAGATAAAAAAACGACAATAAGAACCCGCCGTAACGATTTTAATGAGAGCCGCTCGCGAAAATTACGTATAATTATCCCAGAAGAGCTCTTTCATATTCATGTCGCTAGGTAAACAAGAGGAATTTACGTAAATGCGGCATGCGGTATAGGAGCAGCGGGGCCCCCCCGTAATCGCTATCCTCCCCCCCCCCTTCCCCACCTCTTCCCTTCCCTACGGTGCTTTAATCGCATCTGAATCGCCGCGGTCGCGACGCGCGGGGAACCGTGAAAGATAAACATTAGGTACAGAAAACAAACGAGGTTCGCGGCGCAAAGTTTTCAGGTTAAACCGCTCGTTAATGAGTCCATAATTAAAAGACCGAAACCTGTATTCGTTATATAGGGGTGCGAGCGCGCACTTTTCGATATCAAATTCCGTGATAATTACGCATGACGCTCCGACTAGCACCGAATGGCGCCGAAAATGTGAAAATAGAACGTGCGCGCGCGAGAATATTTATACTCTACTTCCATCTCACTTGTCCTTATATAATTATTAGATATCATTCTCTTATTATTCTATTGTTAGAGATATTACTCATAATACTTTCTGTTATTACTAATATTATCTTATTTTGTTCCTGGAAATAGACGGATGAATAAATAACGAAATACATGAATTTTTCATTTTTCAACAAATGCTATAAATTAGGTAATGTTTGCAAAATACTGTTGGCCAAATTACTTCATTAAGTCAGATTCTCCAGTTATTTTGAATTTTAAGACGAGAAATCAGCAATTCATAGAAAAAAATGTATAAAATCAATATTATTCATCGGCTAAACACATTTTTGTTATTAAAATTCCAAAATTTGAATGTGACTTATTCAAGAAAAAATTAAAGAAAAAAACTCTTCATATTGAAATTTAATAAAAAAAGAACTTCTTTTATTCTAAAAAATGTATTTTATCGATCATTTTTGGATTGTACTTTTTTCATACATTTTTAATAAAATTCTAATGAAATTTCAAAATTTTATTACAAAGAGAACGGGGTCTGTAATATTGAAATCCGACTATTCGTGCTCACTCATTATCTTGCTCAATATGAAAAAAGTGCCAGCTTTCCTATGCACTCTATCCTGAATTCTATCCTGAATAAACATTTTTGCTTTTTGTGAGAAGATTTTTTGTCCTTTGTTAATCAGGAATCAATATGTAAATCAAACATTCACTTATTTTTCCTACAGTTACTTTATTGACAGTTAGTGATTTATTATACATTATTTTCCTATCGCTGATTTCTCATCACAGACTACGATCACTCGGTCAACAAATAATTTCCTCCCACAAAACGCAGTAAGAGTCAAATTCGCCTGAAAAATCGAACGGAACTTTTTGACTGATTCAAAACGACAGCCTTCTCGTCCAAAGAGGTATCTCGATCGCAATTTGTACCTAATATAATGTGTCGTCGTATTTTACGCAGCTGGGTACCCTAACGTAAGAAGACATTAAATCCGCAGACGGAAACGCGGCCAGTCGTAGCGCCGTTTTCCTGACGGAGCGAGTAAGCTGGAAACACAGTGTTGTGACTTCGGTCTCGCGGATAACTGATGATACCTGGTGGACGCGATGTATAAAAAGCGCGAGCCCGGGTCACGCGCTAATTACCTCCTTCGAACAATTAATTAATCACCGTGAGCGATGAATTTCGCGAGGTGTGTACTTCGCGAGCGAGCGAGCGAGCGAGCGAGAACGTATCGCCGTCACAGCCTCGCTCGTTTTAGTATTAATTTATATATAATTGAAATAACGAACACACGCACGCACGCATGCACGCACGCACACACACGCAGGTTACACGTTCAGATCGCAATCTATCATCGAGCTCGCTGGTTGATTTTTTAACGAATGATTGATTGTTGTTACATATTTACACGGCGTGCAGACGTTTAAACGAGAAGAGAACGAAGAAGCGCGCGCGATGAATTAATACGCTGATATTAGACTCGCTCCTGGGACGCTGAAAATTGCACGCTCGCGTTTGCGCCGTTCGGCGATGTTAAGGGCATTGTTTAAATGCATTACGCTGTGTGTGTTTCGTTATTCAGGCGCGCGTGCGGCCCGATGAATAATTCTTTTCCTTTTAATTTACCTGCCGTAATTTCGACCGTCACCGATGATGACGNGGGGGGGGGGGGGAGGACTGATTTTGATGGGAAAACCGGGCCAAACAGTTACGGTATCCCACTCGCCGCGGGGCGATGACGTAATTCATGTTTATTTACGTGATATTTATTTAATTTACCGCCGGTATAAACCGGAGCCAATTTTCATCAGCGAACCGGTTCACTTCTGGTTTCCATATTCATGTAATAGGTCGTCGTTGCGGCCATTAAAAATGTTAAACGGCGTTACGTTTAATGAATAATATTACGGCGTATCCGACGAGAGAGATGAGCTGCAAACACAAACGAGTTAACCCGCGTCGCTGTGAGGCTTTATACGATATACGTTCTATCTCTTTCGCTCCTTCGTACTACGACGATAAAGCCGCCGTGCACCTACCGTGGAAAAAAGCGTCCCTCCTTTTCTGAAAGTTATTACTATACGGACACACGTTATCTTCGCTTCTCTCTCTCTCTCTCTCTCTATCTTTCTATATTTCCCTCACTCTAGATCAGGTAGCTCATTAATGAATCATGATTATAGCACGGATGAAGTTGTAATTTCTAATTGATCTAACGTACAACAGTTTCGCAACTTCGGCAAAATGAAATTATTGCCTTTCGCGTAAGACTATGATATTTATTCGACCGAAGTGAAATTAGATTAATTAGCGCGGCGCGCGCTCGCCGATCTCGGATATCCATCGTATTTAACAAATGCCGGGCGCGTGAAAAATATTCGCTCAAACGTGGAAGAAAGTTACGGACGGTCGAGCTAATTACGGCAAATGGGGAAGAATTTGAACGGGAGAGCAGACCTCTTAAAATAATCGAAGTTGTCTGGCATTCCGCGCTATCGTGCGGGTTCAGTTGAAATTCAATTGGAACCCCGCTTAATTTGATTTCATTTAGCAATTCTGATAGACGCGCACTGACCGACCGCAACTATGCTGCTTACATTTTCATGAAAACTAAGGCAGAACATTGCACGGTATTGCGCGGGCGAGGGAAAGTAACGCGGAATAACGCGAATCGGCGTGGATTAAAACAGAGGGATTTTTCTCCTCGCGGAAATTACATTCGGGGCTTAATTAGGAAGACATCCGACGGGACAAATGCCGCAGACGAGCGACAAAGAAGCTACGGTTTCTTCTGGCATTTTTGACGAAAACAGTTCCGGCGGAATTTTCTACCAAAAGGATCCTTCCAAAAACTTTTATCTCTCCTCAC